CAGTAAACTATACAGCATCGCGAAATGCGAACGTTTAGATTCACGACTGGCAAAGTTGAAAGCACCGCGAATGCACGATCCAAAGAGACAAACATTGGAACGGCTCGGGCGACAACAATAATGAAGACCCTAAATGATGGCGTGGGCAACCCGGTAACAGAGTTCGCCAACCGCATGCAGACGGGCGCAGCCTGCGTCGTGCACACAACTACGACCGTCGCATCGAACCCGCGCAGCTGCGGAGCAACATGGCTCTCTCACTGCCGATGGCGAACATCCGAAATGAAACCAAATCCATCAACCAGCAATTTCACAACATTTGCCAGCTTCGGCACCACGAGGTAGCTTACTGCACTGTAAACGAGTAAGCTACGTGAGGGTGTTCTGCGAAGCAAGCTAGAAAATTCGCCGGCCCAACGGGCCAGAAGCGTGCTAAGATCTCCGGTAACTACTTAACAATATTTCTAGTTCGCGCGCGCGGGGCGGCCCCGTGGGCCCCAGACGAAAAGTACCCCGGCCGATCCCCGGCTGACCCCCGGGCGATCCCCAGGGGGGAGGCTATTTTCCGCCACCCCTCACGAGGATCGTGGCCTCCGAGGGGGGGGGGGGCTGCAATCGACTGCCCTCCCTCCCGCCCCAAGGGACCCCCAAGAGCCCCCCAAGAGGCTCCAGGGGAGCCCAATACGCCGCGAAGGAGCCCCGAGACGCTCCCAAGAAGCCCCCAAGAAGCCCCCAGAACGGCCCCAGGAGGCCCCCAATAGCGCTCCAGGGCCGGCGGAATGAGCGAAGCGATTAAAACATATTCTTTAAGTGCAAGTAACGCTTGGGAGCGTCAGCGCGACACTAGATAAACAAACAAACGAGCAATCAACATGAAAGGGCGAGGGGCGGCACCCGTGGCAACAAACTTCAGGACGACCACCAACCAAACCTGTCGTCCTCATCGTCGGCCTTTCTCTCCTGTCAGACGTCACTCTGCCCGTGTGCTGTCAAACTCAGCACTTTCACACTGGCAGGCGCAACAGTCATTGATCGCCAAACGCCTCGGCAGATTCGGCCGCGTAGGAGGCCTCGTCAGCTGCCTTGTCGGACGACCCCTATGCTAGGGCCTCGTGGGTTGCCAGGGCAAGCTCCGCGGGGGCCTCGTCGGTCACGGCCTCGTCCTCTCACCAGAGGCCTCGTCCGACTTGTACTCGTCCGACTTGTTCTCGTCCGACTCGTCGTCGTCGTCGTCCGCCTCGTCCGAATAGTACTCGTCCGCCTCGCCCGCCTCCTCGTCTTAGGCCTCGTCCGCCTAGTCAGATGCCTCGGTCCTCAGCAATATCGGCATCCTCCGCCGCGACGTCGGAATCCTCGCCGCCTTGAGCGCCTTGGCCCGCAGTAGAGCGGAGCCTCATCGGCCCTTTCATCGCGCTGGCATGGGGGAGCCCTCGCAGCTGCGCCCCGACCACCTAAGCTTGCAGCAGCGCGGAGGTCCAGGCCTCGCCGTCCTGGCACGTACAACCGGCGACACAGCCCACATCCGCAAGCACGCGAGCGCAGACAGCAGCAGCAGGAGCGCCAGAAGAAGGCGCAGCATGGCTCAACTGGGTTCGATCTCTGGGGCCTCGGTCTGAATCACACTGCGGCCGCCTCTAGGCGAGCTTGAGCCAATCTGGAGCCAGAACGGCGGGGGCCTTGCGCTGGAATGGCCTGGGAGCTCGTTCTCTTCAGCAAAATGTCTCCAAAGCTGATTTCCAGTCCACGACGTCACATGCCGCACTCGCCTCGCGGGCTTCGTGCGGAGGCAGGGGCCCCACGACCAGAGGTGCCGATGGCCGATTGATGGGGATGGAAGACGACGCGGCGGACGAAACCCTCTCAGAAGCCCCATGCACAGATCGACCCCCCTCGCCCCACCCGATCGGCTCGGGGACGCGCTGACACACAAGCCAGCGCTAACCCGGTTAAGCCATGGCCGATGTTTCACCGCTTCCGACAACAAAAATCTCTTGAAAATGGAAACGGTAAAAAGACGCCGACCGGAAACAAAACGGCTCCAGGATTGGAACTGGAGCCAAGACAAACAAAAAAACGGCAACACGGAACCGGTAACAAAAACGGCCCTGTCGTTTCCAGGGCCCACTACGCTGCCCGCGCCGACGGCGCCAGTGTTTCGAGGAATCGTGCGCATCGCGCGCGCTCAGGTTTTAGCAAGCACCCGCCCTCGGCAACGACACAGCTCTACATGTGCACGAATATATGCACGGACGGAAAACACTGACGTGACGACGGACGCCTGGTGAAATGTGGATTACCGAAGGGAGCTTGGGAAAATCGTGCCGACCCCTGAGCTGGGGGACCTTTGGGGGGAACGAAAGAGGAGGATAGCAAAGGGTAGGGTAGAGAATCAGCTCACGTAGCTGACTTTCCCAGCGCCTCCCAGCGCCGAAATGCGCCCATGTATCGTGAAATGGGCCCGGCGGCGGGGCCGAAACCAGCTGTACGCAGCAGATTTCGTAACCCCCCCTTTCCCCATCCCTCCCGGCCTCTCGTTCGGCCCGAGACCTGGTCGCCGCGCCGGGTACACTCCATATCCTGTGGCATCGGCTTTCTGCGGATACCGAAGCTGGCCCAGCCAGAAAAGCCTCGCAGACCCCCAGTGGCTCTGACCCTCGTCGTGTGAGACCCCGGCTGGTGCTCGCCGCCGGCCGGAGGCCGGCTGCGGTCGGAACCCTCCGTGTGGGCCCGAGCTGCTGCCAATGACGGGCTCGGGGGGGGGGAAGCATCGAGCTGGAATCGGCGACACAACGAGACCGCGCGCCCCTGGGTGGGGTGTGCTAGCAGGCCCCCATCGGCGATGGATGGGCGATGGGGGTCCCCCAGGACAACCTGCTCGCCCCGATTTTTGTGTTGCGAACCCCGGGCCTGGAGAAGGCACCGGGGCCCGGAAACGGCGAGAAACCTTCAGGACCCGTCCCCAAACATCCTCCGATCTCATTGCTTTTCGTGCGCAGCCCCCAGAGGTCCCGAGCTCTTCCACGAGCTCAATGCTTCGCTTTGGATCCAACTCTGACGGCCGCGGGTGCAGAAATGGGCCCAAGAGGCCAAAAACTGAGGAAACCTCTTGCGTCTGCGGCGAGGCAGAGGCAGTCCGCTCCAGCGTCGGACTCATCGGGGGCACCGATCGGCAAATTGTCCGGCGAGGAGGAGAAGAGGGAGCGGCCGCGCGGGGGGGGGAGAAGGAGGCGCTCAGACGTGGAATAGTTCCACGGTGAGCGGGCTAGAGCGGCCAGCCAGGACAGCGGCAACACCGAGGAAACACACACGGGTTGAGCAACTCAGACTCTCGAACTCGAGGATTCACTCGGGACCACCTGCTGCTTCCGCTGACGGACCCGCCGCCGCTGTACTTCCTCCGGCTTCCGCTTGCCTTCCGCTGGCTTCCGGCCGAGAAATGAAGCCGACTCGAAGGCACGTCCCTCTCTGGAACACGCCAGGTGGAGACGGTGGAGAGTCGGCGGCGGAACCTGTGGCTGACGACGACGATGTTGCTGTGAGTAATTTGGTTCATCACCGTGCGTCGAGGCACGAAAGGGAGTGTTCGCTGGGCGTCCAGAGCTCGCTGCATTCCGCACTCAGTATTGGAATTGACATCTCAAAGCAGTCCTGGGCGCTCCCGCGCGCTCCCGGGCTACCCCGCATGCCTTTGTCCAGAGACCCGAGGGCCCCCACGACGGGCGAAAAGGGCTCCAGGAAATGCCCCAAAGCCGTCCAAGACAGCCCGAGAACTCCCCAAACAGCCTAAGATGGCTCCACGACGGCCCAACAGGTCCCCAAGCTGGCCCCAAGAGGCCTCAGGACCCCAGGAGGAAACATCCATTGATCTCCAAATGGTTCCCCCTGGTCTGGAGACGGCCCGAGAGGCTCCCACGGTCGCCCCAATAAAGTCCAAAAGACTCCCAAGAGCGCGCCGAACGGCCAAAGAAGCCTCCAAGACGGCCCTGTTGGGAACTCTACTTTGAAAACCTCGTTTTTGAGGATTTCGGCATGCGCGCGCGATAGCGCGCGCGTGCACTTCGTCTCGTGTTCTGCAAGGGATTCGTGGAAACTGATGTAGTTGATAAACGAGTGCGCGCGCATAGTGTTTGTTGCAGGGGATGGAAGGGGTAGGGGGCGATACCGGTCCCCCTGGGATGCTGTAAACTCATACTTCGGATGGACGATGGGGCATAATCATACGTAAAGTACAGAACGTAAAGGGAGGCGGATAATCCCAGGGGGGAGAGTCTATTCTGTTTGTAGACAAGAGAATATACATGTACTGCAATCGATGTTGTGAGCGATCAAAAGGCGCGACGCAGGCGCGAGGCACAGATCGTGCAACATATACGCTGCAATCTACGTGTGACAATACATGTCGTGAAACCTATGTGGTGCAAGATATGCGGTGATGTCGATGAGGTGCGGCCTATGATGTGCGATATAGTTTGTGCAGTCTGCGGTGTGCAACGTAACTATGTCGTGCAATCTGTATGGTGCCATGCATGTGACCATGCAATGTACGTCGTGTTATCTTTGTGGCGCAAGATATAAATGTGCAATGTATGTGGTGAATTCTATGATGTACAAAGCGCGCTTTTATCTCCTGCCATCTACGTGGTGCAATCCAACGGCGGCGACGGGCGGCGACGAGGCGTCTACGGGGCGGACACGGCGGCCGGATAGCCGCCAGACTAAACAAAACGGCCCAAACGACGGGCGGCGACGAGGCGGCGACGGGGCGGCGACGGCGGCCGAAATAGCCGCCAGACCGAAGACACGGCCCAGTTCCTTAGGACTAGAAGATAAGTGCAACACAGGATGCCGTAGGTCGCAGATCGAATGTCGTCGATGTAACATAGGCTTGCGTGCAGGATCTACACCGTACGTTGGCCATCTGGGCAGGACCACATGGCGAGACGGCGGGGGCGATGGGCGTCGGCGGTCGGCGGCGGCGGCGGCGGGTCGGCGGCGCTCGCCGGCGCCGAAGACGCGGCCCCCGCCGACGGCGCAGGAGGCCAGCACGAGCCGCAGGGGCTGGGCGGGGCGGTGGACGCAGCCGTCCGCGCTGGCGGACGATCCCTCGCTGCGTGGGGGCGGGTGGTGCTCCCTCGAGTCGTCTGAAGATCGCGACGGACAACGTTGGGTTCTCTTCGGCAGGGGGGCCCTTGCCCCGCAATCGGGCCGTCAGAAAACGGCTCGGGGATGAAAAACCGATCCTGGGGAGTGGGTCGAGATCTCTGGGGGTCCACGTTGTCATGCTGCTGCTGCTGCTGCTGCTGCTGCTCCGAGCTTCCTCCTTCCTCCCCTCCCTCCACTCCTCCTCCTCCTCCTCCTCCTCCTCCTCCTCCTCATCCTCCTCCTCCTCCTCCTCCTCCTCCTCCTCCTCCACCTCTTCCTCCTCCTCTCCTCCTCCCCATCTCTCGTCGCCATCCTCCCTCCAAGTCCTACCTCCCACTGTAGAGGCAGGGGCGGGGGGAAACGACCACCTAGGGTCGACGACCGAGCGGGTGGGCGGGTGGCCGCGGAGGAGGGTGAGGGTCGACATGAAGCAAACAAGTCCCGAGGAAAAACAGATACGGGATTTTTTGTTGGCCGTTTGCGGGCTTCCTGGGCCCTCCACCGCAAAAAATACTCGGGGAAATAGTCCTGGGAAAGCTCTGGGGTCTGGGACCCGTTTCTGTCTGCTTCATGCAGAGGAAGTGCGTGGGCATCAAGAGTCGAAGGTCAAGGTCCCCGTCGAAGTGGGCTCCACTTCACTCGAGCGACTCCTGGCCGCCGCCAGGGAGGAGCGCTGGGGTATTCGTGTTGATGGATGCGGGACACGTTTTTCGTCCCACCTTGCAGTAGGGGCCCGACCACAAGAAACCTTCCACACGAAACCCAACCCTGGAACCCCAGGACGTCCACTGATTTTTGGTGTGGAAAAGTCGCGTGCTCCGTAGCAAAACCATGGAACCCCAAGAAACCCAGGGCACCCTGGAGGCAAGCAGAGTGTTTCTAGGCATGGGATTCCAGTACTTTTGCTATTAACCCGGGGTCGGTCAACGGCCCCCAGAGGCCGAAAGCAGAGTGGCCGGGTTAAGGAGGATCGTCGCTTGGAGAGCTGTCGCAGAAATTCGGCGCGCACCTGGCGGGGACTGCACCAACGGGTCCTTCGGTAAGCGGCCCGGCAAAAGAACCCTTCCCGATGTGGGCAGTGTCGCAATGCCCGAAAAGGAGGCCCTGAAGTGGCAACCTTCGGCGGGGTTCCACCAAAATGCCCGTGCTTGGGTACCCGCTGCTGTGCCGCTGGAAGGTGGCGAGCAGAGGCATCCTGAGATCGCCTGAGACCCCAACCAATGAGAGAGAGAGGGCGTCTCGGGATATCGCCAGGGCGACAGCAGGGAGCATACCGCGACCCGCCGACGCCGCGACAAACAGCTTCTCTCACGCTGCGGCTGCTCGTCCTGCAACTGCTCGTCCTCCGCTGCTCCACAAGGGTCGGGTCGGGCGAGAAGGGGCGGCGCAGCGTAACGGGAGGGAGCTTTGACTGACTTCTCTGGCGCCTCCCGGCGCCAGAGGACAGGCGCCCGGCGCTGGGGCCGAAACCGGCAGACACCACCCACCCACTCACCATACCCCCCCCCTTCCGTCCGACCAGATCCCCAGTGGGCTCGTGCATCGCCCACCGCTACACCCTGAGCGTCCCCAGCGGCGCCAGGAGGGGGGAGAGCAGCAAGCGAGGAAGCTTCGCCCCCAGCGCCAGTTCGGTCAGCCCAGCGGTGCTCGACCCCCGCCTTTGGCGCGCGGAGCTCGCCCGGGGCGTCATGAGAGGCGCCCCCCCGGGATATACAGCGCAGAGATACGCTGCGCAGACCGCGTGGACCTCCGAAAGCGTGTGCGTATGCAATCGAGCATGAATGTTCGATCGATCTCGATGGCCCTCAAAATCCGCCTTCTTCCTACTCATCCTCGTCCCTTCATTATTCCTCCCTTCCTCCTTCCTTCTCCACCTCCTGCCGTCCTCGTCCGCCTCCTCCTCCTTCAACTCCTCCCTCCTCCTCATCCTTCCTCCCTCCCTTCATCCCTCCCTCCCTCCCCTGCTCCTCTCCCCGAGGCGGGGGCCCGGTGCTGAATCCTGGCGCCAGAGCCCAATCGAATAGGCAAATGTTTAGAAGAATGGATTGTCTGTTGGAAGCATGGCAACCGGCCAATTTTCGTGGTGCGCGGGCTCAACTCCTCGGTTCCACGCTGTGTCAGCAGTACTAGCAACTGCGGCATGTTGCCCTCCTGCTCGCTGCGCGCTGCGCTCAGCTTGACCCGCAACATCAGGGTCAGCCGTTCAGCCGGATCCGCAGTATCAGGGCCTGTGGCACCTCCAGAACAGGGGTCCGCTCACTCCTAGCGCCACCAAAAGTGCCGCACCACCGCCGAGCGAAGGCCGCGACCGACCCGACGACGCCGCCAGTGCCTCTACCCTTCCACCGTTTCGCACGGTGCGCCACGACTTCCGCCGTCGTACACAATCATCGCGCTTCCATACGGGACGCCGAGTAAGGAACGAACGAGACATCCAGGCCACAGCGAGCCTCGGCCACGAACGAGCTCCCTGGCAAACTCGTACAGAACGGCCCGAAAACCAGGGCCCCATCTGAGCCCAAAGTGATTCTTACTTCAGCGTCTCGACCAGATCACGGCGTCCACAACTTCCTCCTCTTCCCTCTCGTCGCCGGTGCCAGCTTGGGGGCGCCGAACGGGGTGGCCTCCCACAGGCCCTCCACCGCGAGCCCCGCGTCCGGGCCCAGCTCGACGGGGGAACGCCTCGCGACAGGGGAGGCGCGATTCGCGCGGCGAGGGAGCCAGAAGGAACATTACTCCAGATTTCGTAATTAAAGGGAGGGGGTCTGGACCCTCCAAGACAAGCCATTTCAGACCCCCCCCGTGGGAGAACCTTCCAAAACATCGTCCCCAGACCCCCCAGGCCCTCCAAGATAGCCTGGAAGAGACCCCCCCCGAAATGAGACCCCCCTCCCTTTATTACGAAATCTGGAGTACACACGTGCACGAACGCGAGGGGCCCAGCGGCAGCGCCGAAGCGGGACACCAGGGATCGCAGGGAGCCGTTTTGGGGCCCGGCGGCTGCGGTACGCAGGGTGTGCGAGCCAGGTCGGGGACTCTTCTCTGAACCTGACGACCCCACCCTGGCGGGCGGGGATCTGGGTAGTCGAAGCCAATCTGGCGCCAATCTGGCAGGCCCAATCTGGCAAACGGGGGCAATCTGGCGAGGGAGCCAACGCGAATCCAGTCTGGCGAATAACCCAAATCATCCAGTTTGGCCAGGCCAGATTGGCCCTTGGGGCCCAATCCAATCTGACAGTCTGGCCTTCGACTACCCAGGGGATAAATGTCCGATCGCCCGCGGTACGTTTTCGGATCTGCGCCGTGATCCCTTCCCTGGCGCGCGGATCGCGCCAGTGGCAGCGCAGGAGACGCCGCCAGGAGAGCCCAGCCCAGATCGACCATCTCCCATGTGAGCGATGATCTCCAAGGTGGCCCTAAGAGGCCTTCCAGGGCTTCCAACAGGCCCCCAAGAGAGCCCCAAGAGGGCCACAAGAGAGCCTCAGGATGACCCCGTTCCTACTCTTCCTCGTCTCCGTTGTCGTCGTCGTCTTCGTCTTCCTCCTCCTCATCATCATCCTCCTCCGCCTCCCCCTTCCATCGCCCCCACGCGGGCCCCAGGGATGGCCCGAAGAGGCTCTCGAAGGCCACCACACCGTCCTCGTCGACGAAGGTCTGCCATGGCGCTGGTTGGTCCAGGACCTCTGCATAGGCACGGGAAAATGGGAACGGCTCTGAATATTTGTATCGAACAACATATTTTCGAACGTCCATCGCGAACAACGCCTGTCGGGCTAGAATCCCTTCCCATGTCAAAGGTCTTGAGCAACATCGGCTCCTTCTCCAGGTATTAGTGCATTCACGGTGTCTGGTCACGCTCTCCGCCTTGGCGATCTGTTGGTCTCCAGAAAACGAATTCGGTGAGGGACTCAGCGCGGTAAGTGGTCACGTCAAATACGGCTACATTTGTTTCCCAGTCCTTATCGCCAGGTCAGTCTCCGCTCAGGGCTGCCACAAGTGCCAGCGACGCCACGCCGTTCGCATGCAGGTCCAACAGCTGGTTCTCAAGAGTCTGAACTGCTCGGCTCTCTGCTCTGACGGCTGTGCGCTTCGACCATGACCGAAGGCCTGCAGCATAACCTCCAGGCGCTCGACTCTTCATGAATTAAGCAGGGCTGATTAGTGTCTTTTCACGTCTTCCAACGGTTCTTGCCCACGGAACGGGACCACACGAAGTCGGTCTGGCTATGCTATGTCGGATCTCGTAAGTCTCAGCCGTCGTCTGCCTATGCGGTGTCGTTCCATCTACTCTCACATGCCTCCCAGGTGCTGAGTGCCGATTCCTGCTGCTGTCTCGGTCGGCCTCGAAATCCAGTCGGCGGTACTCCTGTGCTTCACGACTCGTCTGCTGTCCTGCATATCCTAGATTTGGTGGTCCTTCCGCGTCGTCAGAGCGCATTGGAGCGTCAATTCCATGACGACCAATCGTTCTGGCCCCCTGGGTCACGTTCAACATATCTCCTGCGACCAAGCTCCGGCTACCATTCCGAGTGCCCAGTTGGCCTTCGGGGAAAGACACACACAGGTAACGAGAACAATGTGTTTTGTCTTCTCTCAAGAATTCCGGGCAAGGCAAAGCTCATCTGAGAGCGGAACAAAACCTGAGCCGATCTGGCCGCATGGAGCTCGCGCATGCGACCTTCGGGCGTTAGCGGGACCAAGTTTAGTGGGACCTGATTTAGTGATGTGTACTGGGGGACGCCCCCCTGCACCGTTCCACTAACCGCAACTGCCGTCACCCGAAAAAACAAAAGCTACGGCAGACCTGGTTTAGTGATTCTGGCCAACTGAAGATCTCCAGGGCCCTACTACTAACTGGGTCCTCTTACCTGAGATCCTGGCTATACCCGAGACCTGCCCACCCGCGGAGCTAAGGGAGAAGAGGAGGAGACAGAAATTAGTTTCGTCAGCGGCGAGGCAGAGGAGCTGCTTGGTAGTCCCCAAACGTGGTGGTGACAACACCTGGCGGTGAGTCTCGGGCGATTTGGTGTCACCACCCGGTTTGGGTACTCGTGCGGTTTTCCGAGGATGTCCCAGACACTGGTGGGTCCAGGAATCACAAAACCCGGTAGTGACCCCGCGTCCCCAAACCCAGCGGTGACCTTTTTGGGGATTCCAGGTCGCCACCTGGTGTCTCACCACCTGGTTTGGGGGCTCCCGAGCTGCCCTAGCTGATGGCGATTCGGGGCGACCGGAAGGCGAATTGGCCCGCGTGCAAGAGGGGGAACCAGGGGCAAAGGGCAGCCGCGCGGAGGACAGGAGGAGGAGGAGGAGGAGGAGGAGGGCACTCAGGCCAGCAGTGGCAATGGGGCCGCGGCAGCAGCGGGACCGTGGCGAGGACGCTCCCACGGGCGCTGCCAGTGCTCAGTGTCGAGGAGGCGAACGCATGGTGGTCTCGAGTATGAATGGCGGCAGGGGCAGGGGGGGGCGGCGTGGAGGAGGGCGGAGGCAAGAGTTAAAGGGGGAGGAGGGATGGGAGGACAGATCGATCAGGAACAATGACGGGGGTGGGACAGGAGGGAAATGTATTCGTCCCTCCATCCTTCCCCCTCCCTCATCCCTCTCCCTCACCCTCCCTCTCCTCTCTCTTGGGCATTTCTCTCCTCCACCGCCCCCTCGCCCAATACAAAAAAGGGAGAGAGGCAGGGATGAGGAAAGAGGGGAACCCTGGCAACACCCACGAGCTTCCGAAAGACCCCCAAAATGTTCGACCGCAATAAACCTTCTCCTCCATCCTACTCCTCCTCCCCCCTCCCTCTCGCCTTTCCTTATTCCAGACCTCGCAGAACGCCCGCGACGAGGTGCAGCCTACGGAAACCACCCAGGGCCATCAAAACGCCCAACAACTTCAGAGCTTTCGAAGCACAACGACAGGGGGGGACCGGCTCAGGGGGGGACATATCGAGCTCCCCAAATATAATACAATATGATGGTTTCAATGCACGGCTTCATGAGTCGCAGGCGCTTCCACTGGGCCAGCTTGTCGCCCCGGATCCAAGTTTGACGGTCCATGGGGCCCGATGGCGGGCCCGAGAGGCGAAATCGAGCAAACACGCCAGGACTGTCAACAATCCTATCGTCGGAGACCTGGCTGGGTCCAAGGTGGGGACACGCAAAGGGCGGCGAGCACGGCGGCGACAGCCCGGACGGCGGCGGGATCGCCTTGCCGAGCCCGCCGCGCAAGGCAGCCCGAGGGCCGCCGCCGCCCAGGGCGGCAGCAGGGGCAGCAGGGAGGCGAGCGTGCGCTGCGGCGGGACCTCCCGCGCGCAGTCGGCGCCGTCAACGCAGTCGGCGTCCTCGCAGTCGTCTTCATCTTCGTGGTCGTCGTCGTCTCGTCGTCGGGGCCGTCGCCGTCGCCGTCGCCGCCGTCGTCTTCATCGTCGGTTGAAGGGGGGCCGAACGCCCCGGCATTCTTATAGGCTTATCACGCAATGTTCTTAGAACACCATGACATTGCAAAAACAACATAACATGTTCTGAACAAGATGCCGAAATATTATAAAACACCCAAACAAATTCAATTGTGAGTCCCGTGTTGAAGGTACCGACGTCGGAGGAACTCCCTAATGGGGCCACGGTTCTCGTGAGGGGCGCGCCGAAATCAATCACTGGGGCATTCGGCTGGGCTCCCGATAAGGCAGCGATCCTCGTGAAGGGTGTGCAAGACTGAGCGCGTTGCCGACATGCGAATGCAGCCGCTGGGGCCTCCAGCGGAGCCCCTGTGTGGGGCCACGGTCCTCGTGAGGGGTGTGCCAAAATGGGTGCGGTGCCGCCGTGCGAATGCAGCCACTGGGGTCCGGTGGAGCTCCTTATGGGGTCACGAAGCGCGTGCGGGGTCCCGGGGTGCGCCGTGCTGTGTACCGGAAAAAAGACATGCCCAGGGCACGGGCTGGGAGGAGGAGGAGGAGGAGGAGGAGGAGTGTGCTAAAGCAGGCAGGGAAGAAGCTGAGCAAGCGAGAGATGGCCTGTGCGTGTTGTGTTCTAGAGTGTGTAGTCACAACCACCTTGCTGGCTAAGTGGGTGTATGACATTTCCACGCAGTGACCCCATTGCAATAATGGCTCTATAGACGCTCCCTTTCATCGGCTGTTGGAGTGCCCCCCTTGCGCCCACCTCCGAAACCAGGAAATGGGACAATTCGACGAATGAACAATGGCAGCAGGTCCTGGCCACCCACTTTTCGGGCATCTGTGGTTGGCGGCTCTTGACTGTCGACCCACCGAAACCGGTGTGGGAATTCCCTGGATACCCCCTGGGATCCCGTCCGCAAAGAACAGAAACAAGAGAACCCACCAATGGGGAGGGGGGCGGGTTTCGTCAGCACACCAGTCCCCTCCCCAAATTTCGAGCAGTCTCCGGAGTTCGCGGTGGACTGCAAAGTTCTTTTCCGATACGTTTGCCAGCCGAACCTTCGCCGCAAGTGCAGCACCCTCTCCAGTTACTACTGGGTGGGTTCGGCGCATGCCACGACAGTGCTGCGGAAAGATGAAGATGCGGTCAGCGATTCAGACAGATGTCGAATCTCAGGCAATCGGGCCGCAAACGTTCTAGGAAAAATGCCGCAGGGAAGCGCAAACTTCATCCCTTGAAGCGTATGCTAAGCTCGTGACAGGTGCAGGAAGGGTTCTGGCCATCTGGCCCACTCGTGTGAATATTTCTATGTTGGTCCTCTGCCCAAGGTTCCCCGCCCTCCTCCTCCCCGCCTGTTTGTCTCATCCCACTCCCCCACTTGGACAAGCAACTGTTTCCATTGCGCTACTTGTTTAAAAGGGGTCACTCCTCAACGCAAGAGGCCCAGCTCACAACATTACCCCCCCTCCCTCACAGAGGCAATCAAGAAGCGGCGAGCCCTGCACAAATCCCTGAGCACGGGGTGGACTGATGGAAGACAAATGCGGCCTTGTCTCTCGGAGCAGGATAGAATAAGGCAAGGCACAAGAAGTGGATCCCCGCGTCAGCAATGAGCTTCGGGACCTCCAGCGCAAACGCGTGCCAGGGTATACGATTTCTCACATGCTCGAGGTGATCTAGTTAAACAAGTCCCCCAGTCCCTTGTCGTCGGGGCTGGTCCGTGCTCTACTCTATTCTTCAAGGCTGGTGTGACTGCCGTGTCCTTCTCGAAGGTCACCCACATGCCCACAGACGGGCGACCCGTAACGGTCTGGACGTCCAGACCGTTGCGCCCAACCCCATCTGGGCGGATAGATCGCAGGGAAAAGGGGCAGACATGGGAAGGCTGGGTTGGGGCCTGGAGCATGTCACGGGCTCGGTGCGCCAAGGGACCTGGCAAATGTCACGGGAACGGAGCGCCAGAAGCCTGCCACACGGGCATCTTGAGCGGAAGCGTGCCACACTGAAAGCACTGATTGGGACAACGCCCTGCCTGGATGGCGGCACTCATGTTGACCTCGCCCAAGAACCTGTTCAGATGTCAGAGTCAATCTGATGGGCATAAAGCTTCGAGCTGGGCCACATCCTTACAAGGAGCGCTTTTGCTGAGCTCGCAGGGCCGCGCTGTACAGTTTTACCAGTGTTGCCAGGAAGAGGAAGTGGAAGGAGGAAGGGAGGAGTGAGTTGCGCAGGGCGCTGTCTCTTCGAAACGAGGGCCCAACATCACAGGATGGTTGACAAGTGTACTGTCTCAGACAGACACGTTCAAAGAACAACACACATGTTCTTAGAGCCTACAGGCAAGCTTGGACGCCTCGCCACTGCTTGAGTCGGAGCCGTCGTCGTCGTCGTCGTCATCGCCGGAGTCGCCGTCGTCGCCGTGGGGACCGCCGTCGTCATCACCGTCGTCGTCGTCGTCGTCGTCGTTGTCGTAGTCGTCGACGTCGTCGTCGTCGTCGTCGTCATCGTCGTCGGCGTAGTCGTCGTCGTCATCGTCGCCGCCGCCGTCGTCGTCGTCGTCGTCGTCGTCGGCGTCGTCGTCGTCGTCGTCGTCGTCGTCGTCGTCGTCGTCGTCGTCGTCGTGTCCGTCGGTGTCGTCGCCGTCGTCGTCGGGGCCGTTGCCGTCGGGACTGTCGCCGTGGTCGTCGTCGTCGTCGTTGTGGAGGTAGTGGCCGTCGACTGCCAACCTTGAGCGCTGGCGCCGACCCAGCGCCGCCTCATGAAGTCCGCGCGGACCTCCGCAATGTCTTGTTCTTGGAGTGGGGCGCCAAAGAGCCGAGAACGGCGATCAACCAAAGGACCCCCTTCCCTCAAGGCCTCCCTTCTCCGTGGCATGAGGTGCATCTTTGGGCCGTCGCGCCGCCATCCGGGTCGAGTCCGCGTCGAATCCATGTCGCACTTCTGCACCGAGTCGAGTCCGCATCGAGTTCTCGTCGAATCCACGTCGACCGCGCGACGGATGCACGAAGGAACTGTCAAATTTACGAAAAGGATCCTTAAAAAAAACAGGGTCTTCACACCAGGGCCTTCCGTCAACCCAGCCCTCGGGGGGCAAAGATACGGCAGAACTGGCACAGGGGGGGACACATCGCCCTGCAATCGGCCCCCGTATAGCGAAGCCGCAGGTCCCTCGGCAGGTTGAGGCTATCGGGCCTCTATCGGCGATGAAACTGGCGATTAGGGGTCGACGCATTGTCTATCCCCCCCTAACGGTCGTTGCCCCTGAGTCCTTCACCCTGAGCCACTCTCTGACGGCCCGAGTGTCCCGGGAGGACCCTGGGAGCCCGAAGGCTCCCAGGACCCGTTCCACTGGAGGACTCGCTGCTCCGCGGCACGTTCACAGGAGACGAGCCACCACGCAACGCCACGGTCTCACGCGGCGACCTCCGCGGCAGGAGCCAGAGGAAGCGAAAGCGCCGAACTGGCTCCGGCGGGGACGCAGCGACAGGGGACCAACTCAGGGGGGACACATCGAGCTGGAATGGGCGATATATCGCCGACAGATCGGCGACAGGTAACTGGGCAACCGATGGAAAATCCGCACGTTCCGGGGCGGAATGGGCCATCGGGCCCCTATCAGCGATGAGTGGGCGATTGGGCGCCGGTGTCCCCCCCCTCGGCCAAGGGCGACGGTGCTGTCATGATGCGATTGGCTCAGGATGCGTTCCACGAGGTCCAGAATCTCACACTTGTGACCCCCATGCGGCGCAGCAGGAAACCCTGGAACGCGTCATCATCATGAGGTCGTGCTTCCCTGGTATGCCGCCATGACGTTTTCCTATGCAGGCAGCAAGCGGGGCCCCGGGGCCGCCCCCCAGGACCAGCTCTCCATCCTGAGCCGACTCCTGACGGCCCCAGGGCCCAGGGGCCCCGGGGGCCCCGGGGGCCCAGGGAGGGCCCCGGGGGCCCGAGGGGCCCCGGGAGGGCCTTGGGAGCCCGGGGAAGGGCCCAAGGACCACTCTTCCTTCGCGCCGGCCGCAAGCGTGAGTGACCCTGGACCCGCGGTGCGGGGCTTTGCGGTGTCCCGACGGGGCCACACCCAGGCGCGCGGGCCGCGGCCATCGCATCGCATGCTGCAGTCCATTCAACGACCAGGTGTGGGGGGAGCCCATGGGGCCCGCACCAGAGGTCCCCCCGGCGAAAGGTCGCCCTCGGGGGCATTGCAACGACCACGTGTGGGGGCCCAAGGGGCCCGCACCAGAGGTCACTCCGGCGAAAGGTCGCCCTCGCGTGCGTTGCCTTCGCGGCCGTGCCCCCGAGGGAGGGCGGCCCCGGCAGAGGGCGTGAGGCGCGCGAGGGCGGCGGCGGCCCGGCGGCGAGAGCCCGCAGTGCTGCCCCGAGGCGGCGGGGCCTCCGCTCCCGGGGGCAGCAGCGCCGGAGGGGGGCCCGATCCACGGCCGAGCCACCTGTGGATGCCGCGAGGGGGGGGGGCCACTCCTCCTGCCAGGTTGTGCCCTCGACCCTCGAGGATCGATGGGCGGAGATAACGTCGGGGGGGGGAGAACGTCGAGGATCGAGGGGGGGAGAGAACGTCGGGGGGGGGGGGGGCACCTGTGGCTGCCGCGGGGGGGGTCACTCCTCCTGCCAGATTGTGCCCTCGACCCTCGAGGATCAAGGGGCAGAGATAACGTCGGGGAGGGGAGAGGGGGCTACTCCTCCTGCCAAGCCTTGCCCTCGGCGAGGATAGAGGGGCGGGGGGGAGGTTGCCACACGGGTTTCGCCTTCTGGGCCTCTGGAGGCCTCCAGAGGCCTCTGGGTGCCTACAATGGGATTGGGATCCGGGGCGGGAACAGAACTTGTCACCTCCTCCTCCTCCTCCTCCTCCTCCTCCTCCTCCTCCTCCCTCTCCTTCAACTCCTCCTCCTTCTCCTCCTCCTCCTCCTTCAACTCCGTAGTAGTTATGTTGCTCTTCGCTCTGAATTTCCCTGTTTGGCAGTGTCCTCCCGTGGGCCGCAGAGAGGACTCGAAGGCTAGCCATGGGTCTTCCTCCTCCTCAGGCAGGCCAATGGTGCGCTCCGCTCGCTTATTCAACTCCTACTCCTCCTGCTGCAGCCCAATGGTGCGCTACTCCACCTGCACCTCTTGCACCTCCTGCTGCATATTAACGTCCTCTCCTCCTTCCTGCGCCACCTGCTCCTTCTCCTCCTCCTTCTCCTCCTCCTGCTACACTTGCATCCTGATGAAAAGGAAAGAACAGCGGGCGAGGAACATAATCAACGACTTGAACACCGTCGTCGACGACGACTACGAGCGGCAGCGTCCGCGGCCGCCGCATGCAAGCCCAGACCTACGATGTCCATGCGGGTCACCCCGAAGTCCAGATCTCCCTCTCTTGGAGCCAGCTCTCAGCCCCGGATCGTTCCCTGACGGCCTCGGGGCACGAAAGATCAGAATCGAGAAGCAAAACGTGGGGAGTGAAACAGTCATGGCGTCGGGCGTTGGTGGTGCAGGATCCCAAAAGGTCTCTGGAGGTGGTCCACAGATGTCGCGAATATCCTGGGGGTCCCCGGAGCCAGGGGCCTCGTAAAGGCCTCTGAAAGCTTCCAGAGACCCGAGAAGAGCACAACACCTCCAAATCCTCTACAGCCACCGTGCTTCCATGGAGAGCACTGGAAAAAGAACGAAGGAGCCTTCTTCCTGGACGCGAAATGCTTCTGCCACGAGCAAGCCCCCCGATCAAAACCCGAGGAGCGACCCGACAGACAGAGCCCCTCCAGCGCCCCTCGTAAGCCAGAAGGTGGTTCGCACTTCATCATCGGAATGGCCGACTCGTGTCGTCACGACCCTCGCGTCTGGATCGTTCAACCTTGAACGATCCACAATTCTCCATCGCCAACTAGTTCCACATTGGCCAACTCTGGGCGACTAGCCGCCGGCGTTCAATCTCGAACGCCCGCACTGGGGTCGTCGTCGTGACGACACGACACAAACCAACCGTACTTGATCCTCGATCGGCGGCGGCAGAGGCTTGAGTAGCAACGGTTTGGGGGGGACCAGCTCAGAGGGGTAAATGTCGACCCAGAATCCAAGATACATCGTCGATAGATCGGCGCTATGCCCCCGATAGCAAGTCCGCACGGACCTGGGCGGGGATGGGCTTTCGGGGCCGAGCGACGATCAATGGCGAAGGTCGATGCGTCCCCCCCTGAGCCTCGCCCAGCCTCACATTGCCCTGCAACTGATGGTTCGTATCTCGGCTCTCCGGCGGCGGTTCGGGACGATTCCGGCACCCCCAGAACACCCTCGACGAGGCGCAGCTCATGGAAACCAACCCTAGTCTCGAAAACGTTCGAGAACGTGCGAAACCCGCCTACGAAAGCGTCCAGAAGACCCAGAGAGCATACCCTTCTTAAAAAAAGACCCCTGGAAGCGGCTGGCGGCGGCGGCTTCCAGCGGCCGGCGGAGGCTCACCTCCCAGATGTCCCCCGGAGGGCTAGACGCTAGACTAGACCCCTTTCCTGGGCTGGCTTCCAGGCAAGGCCCAGCGAGGGCCCCCGGAGGCCGAAAACGAACAAAAGCCTACATCGTCTTTCATCCCACGACCCGAGCATACGTCTGGGAACCCGCCGTGCTCGATCCTCGCGGCGGCGGCCGGCGCCAAGCGCAGGCTCTCCCCCCTGAGGAGCGCCCGCCAGCTGCCGAGCAGCGCACGGCGCGGCGGTGACCCCGGCGCGCCCGCCAGACTGCGGGGGGGGCGCCCACGGCGAGGGCGGCAACGATGGGGGGGCAACAGTCGGAGGCGCGCACGGGTGGGAAGTGAGGTGGGGCACGCCTTTTCAGAAGGCGGTGGGGCTTCTCAGAGGCTCTCCAGCCACCTGATAGGCCGTCGATGTCTTCGGAGAAGGTATAGAAAACACTTCACAGAGGGCCTGAGGCGGTCCGACCCTTCTGCCCCCCATCCAGGAGGGGAGGGCCAGGTGGGGGGAGACATCCACGCAAAACAGGAGCCCAAGCTTAGGTCCAGCCCCAGAAGGGGGAGGGGGCCACGTAGGGGTGCAGGTGCGTTTCCTTCCCCCAAGACAAAAGGCGACGACGACAACGAGGCTGGCGACGGGATCGGCAACGAGGGCAGGGTTGGATCGGAAAGTCGTGCGCTGGACCGGGCTACCTTGTCACGGAGCCGCGATCGAATCGGATCGGCTGCGTTAAGATGCGCTGCTGCGCCGCGGGGGCAACGTGCCGCGCCAGGTCGGCCGCGAATGGGGATCGAACGGGACCGAGCCCCGCGAACTCCTGGGAGGGGCCAGAGCTACACACCAAGTCGCCTGGCCGGCGAAGGAGCTCGGTGTATAGACGCCCCAGCTTCGCAACCTGTCGGACGCAGGAACGTCTGTACAACATGGCAGAGTCCTTCGCCGAGCTCCTCAGCTCCTTGGCCGACCAAGCGACGTGGTGTATACGTCAAGTCCCTCCGAAGCTCGACGCCGAATCGGATCGGTCAAATCGGCAAGGGCCCTGCGAGGGCGAGCAGGACGACGGCGGCGGCGGCGGCGACGAGAGCGATGGCGCCCGAGTTTCCCTTGGAAGTGTTGTTCTGGGCGTTCTACCCGAGGCACTCGGCCCGCGGCGGCCGCGCACGTCCACGAGAGACTTGGCCGAGGCTGGACACCAGGAAGGGTATGGGGGCTGACTCAGCAGCTTCTGGACGGGAAGACGGCGGCGACGTGGACGACGGCGGCGACGCTGAGGGGGATAGACGACGACGACGACGAAGTTGGCGCCAAGGTTGGCGACGACGGCAACGAGTGTGGCGATCGAGCGAGCTTACGAGCGGACAGCCGAGAGGCGGTTGGGAGACAGGACGGCCTTACAGACCCCTCAGCCTGATGGACCATCTCCACAAAAAACTGGGCCCGAAGCCGTCCGCGTTGCTGGAACCGTTCCTCCAGGCGCGTGTGAGACCGTGGCACAGGGGCCTCGTCAGCGGACCGCGGCTGGGAGCACGGGGCCTGCGGCAGGCCCTGTGCTCACCACGACGGAGCCGTCTATCACAAGTGTGCAGACGGGAAAGGGTCCGCTGGTGCTGATCTCCTGCACACTCGTGAAGCCCGGGGGGGAATTCAAGTCGGGGCGAAAGCGACGACCAAGATCGCAAACTACCGTTCGAGCTGCCGTCCAGCACAAACTGGTCGGGTGGCCCCAACACATATGGTACCCCAGGGGGCGAATCTCGCAACTCCCTGGGCCTGAGGACCAGGGAAGGTCACACCTGCCGCGACATGAACCTGACCAAGGCAAGGATGTAAATATAAAATCGGCCAGGGGTCAACCTGGCACCAATACGTATCCAAGGAACAATCATCACACGGATCAGCGCGCGCCAGGCGTTATCACCACAAGTGATCCTCATTATCGCACTATTCGTTCTCATCCACTAGGGCGATGCTCAGCCAGCACAGGTGGAATATCCAAGTACTGCTGCGGCATGCGATTTGTCTGCTGACCCACGGGCCTCCCCACCAGAGCCCACCAGAGGGCCAATCCATCTATTGACCTGGCACATGATCTTTCCTCTGGCTACCGATGGGCAGCGCGGGCGTTTGAGTTTGAAACCATGTACTTGAACTTTGCGGATCCCTTACGTTGCTGAAGAGCCTAGTGTTCTCAGCCACTCTTCCCCACGCCATAACTCTACATTGACAAGTTCGTGCCAAACCCTTGTGCGTCTTTGACGCCGTGTTGAAATAGCTGAACAATGTCGTGCACGACGCCACCGGGTAGACGCCATCTTCTACTTCATATTCGAAAATCGCACACCTGCAAACAACCCAAGGGTCAGGACTGCCCCTCTCATAAGCCAACGCCGTCTCCAGGCCCTCTTCATCCTCACCACCCTTATGGAATACGTAGCCGGAACCACACCTCGAAGTTGGCAATACATTCCAGCAGTGATGTGTGGATCCTGGCGCAAAACCTCCACATCAGAATCTGCAGCTCGGGCGGCACGTGTGGCTTAGCTCCTTCCTTGGCTTCAGAATCCGCCTCCTCGTCGCCTCTCTTTTCGGACAGGCTCAGCACACCTTCCCTCAGGTCGTGCATGGTGGTGTGAGCCTTGGCGTGTCGAGAGCATGGACCCCTGGCATCCTCCCCCAGGCCGACTTTGTTCCAAATGTGAGCTCCGTGGCATTGTGGCCCCGCCGTCGCCCAATCCAATCGCCTGCAACAGTTGACCGAACCTTGCAATCCAAAACCTGTTCCACGGACCTAGAACCAGTCTGATGCGTGGAATATCGCGTAGTCCTCACCGTCTTTGGCCACCTGCTGCAGGCCGACGTTCTTGAGCACAGATCCTGTGATCCGAACTACGCTCTGCCTCTCGGCGTTCTAAGCCAGCTGCTTCGAGCTCTGGGCATGGTCATGGGAAACCGCTGCCATCCACGAAGACGAAGCTCCCATGAATACGAGGGTGGCCATGAGAGTGATGAGGATGAGGAGGGCGACGGGGGCAAAGGCGAGGAGAACCAAGAAGGTTAGAAGGACGACGGGGACGGGGGCATAGACGGCGAGGACGACGACGGCAACGACGGCGACGACGGCGAGGACTACCAGGATGGGCCAGGATGGGCAATAAGTGAAGGGAAGGGCGGCGAGACAGGTGCTGCTGCCACCCTGCTTCATTGCAAGCTCGCTGAGCGCGGATGACTGAGAGATGCGAACTTCGCGCCAAGCAGAATAGCACAAGACGTGAGGAGAAAGGGGATGGAACGAAGCAGGAGAAGGAGGAGGAACAGAGAGAGGAGGAGTATATAAGAAGAGGGTGCTTTTGCCAAAGCGCAGCGGAGGAAAGGAGGAGGAGCAGGGGGAGGAGGGGGAAGAGCTGCAGAAACATGAGGGGAACCTCAACTCGAGGTCGCCCAGCTGCGTGCGGCGCACCGCCCGCAGCACCTCGGAGGCCACTGCCCGTTAGGGGGGGCATGCGGAGGCCAGGGGGGTGAAGGCCAACTTTGGGGGGGCCCCGCTCAAAGGGAACACATTGAGCTGGACTCGGCGATACAACGCCGCCAGAACGGCGACAAGCTCCCGATAGCAAGTCCGCATGTTCCTGGGTGGGGTGGGCTATCGGGTCCCTGTCGACGGTCAGTGGGCGACTGGGGGTCGACGCATCCACCCTGGGTCAAGTCCCCCTGATGTCGACCCTGAGGGAGGGGTGGGGGGCGGGGGCAAGATTGAGCGCTGAGCACCGATTGCAATCCCCGAGTGCAAGCCTGGACGCATCATGAAGAATCAACCGAGCGAGGAAATCATTCCGACTTTGGAGCGAATCCACGAGAGAGACGACTCGAAGTCTCCTGACCATTGCCAGTGGGGCCGTCGGGTGGGCATGGATGTCTTAAGTTCCTGGCACCGTTGACGCAGAAACGCCCACAACGACATGAAATAGGACGACGTTTACGTAATGGGGGGCGGTCGAAAGAAACGGGAAGAAAGAGAGGCACAGGCAGGGGAGTTGGAGGATTGGACCCCCCGCCGTCTTCGCCGATCGCCCATCCTCGTCTTGGTCGTGGATTGCCACCGTCGATCGAGGCCATCGTGATCGTCGATCGTCCAGCGTGTGATCGTCGGTCGTCGTGCATCGATCGTGGCCGTCGTGATCGTCGATGGCCGGTCGTCGTCTGTCGATCGTTGCTCGCCGTCGTCGGGACGCCGCTCCGCTGGAGCGCAGCCCAGCTCGGGAGAAAGCGGTGCCCTCGCGCGCGCGCGCGCCCGCAGCCGGTCTCTGGGCGCGCCGCGTTCCCGCGGTCGGGGCCTGCCGCCACCACCGCCTGGCGAGCGGGAGGGGGTGGAGGCGAGGATGGGGCCAGGTCACCTCTCGAAAAATCCATGTGCTGTTCGTCCTCTTGCCCCTCCTGCTTCTCCTGACTTTCCTCCTGTCCTCCTCCTGCTCATCCTCCTGCACCTCCTCCTCCTCCTTCTCCCCCTCACCCTTCTCTTCCTCCTCCTCCTCCTCCTCCTCCCTCCACCTCCTCCTCCGGCTCCTCCTCCTGTTCCTCCGCCTCCTCCTTTTGATTCCGTGCCTCGCCGCGGCCTGTGTGCTCCGATGGCGTCGGGCAAGAGAACAACCATGGGGGAGGTCAGTAGGCCCAAACGTTACGTTGGCGCGCATGGGAGAGGCCGCGACGACGACGGCGACGCCGGCGGCGAGGCCTCGTCGCCGGGGCGCAGTCGCGTCGCGGCGTCGGCGGCGGCGCCGGGCGCGGCGTCGAAGGCGGCGACGTCGGGCGCGGTGTCGACGGCGTCGGCGTCGGGCAGCGCGAGCCCGAGGGCGGTCGCGAGCGCCTGCGCCACGTGTTGGCCGCGGGGGGTGGGGGCGGGGGCGCCGATCGAAACGAGCGGCGCGGGGCACGGTCGGCGAGCGGCGAACGGCGGCGGCTAAGGGCAGCGACCGGCGACGCCGACGACCGGCGAGCGACGAGCGGCGCGTGACGGCAACGGAAGCCACGAGGAGAAGGAGGGAGAGAGGGGGACGGCTCGAGGCGGGAAGTTTGAAAAACAACGAGGGGAGGAGGAAGGAGAACGATGAAAACGACGAGGGGGGAAGGAGCATGGGAATGAGATCGAACGTTGAGTTACTTTTTGGGAATGCTCATGCTATACATGTTTTTTTGTGAACGGGGTTCAAGAGGTTCCAAAGTTCGGGGTATTTGGCTACGGCACTAGGAACTGCATGGACAACGAAGGTCGGAAAAAGGGTAGTGAGGCGGGGAAGAATAACAGGGAGAGGACAAACAAACATGGGAAAACAAGAAAGAAGAGGAAGAAACGTCGGAAAGCAAGGAACATCTGGAAAACAAAAACGGAAGGATGAGGGATATGGGCGGGGAATGATGGTGGGCGGAAGGGACGAGAACGGGAAGGAGGACGAGGGAGGGATGGAAAGGGGGGGCGAAGGCAAAACGGGAGGGAGGGCGAGGTGCACAGGAAGGACGGAGCTGGCGCGCGGCGTTAAGCAGTTTCCTTACTTACGTGGATAGCGCTCGAAGGCGAGCGAAGGTCAAGACTCGCGCGTTGCATGGGAAGCCCAATTTCGGAACACAATGTACCGCGCTGGGGTCGGCGCTCGGCGCCGATCAGATTCCGCGCGCGACTGGCAAGCACGCGAACGCACGCGGGGGGACTCTTCGCCCGGCGTCGGCAGCGTTCTCGGAAAACGATGTTCGAGCGGCTGTCGGCGCGTAGCGCCGAAAGAAAGGCGTCTCGCTGCGCAGCTGGTAACGTGCGGGTGCGCGCGGCCACCCCTGCGGCTGCGTCGCAACGGCGTCACACACGCAAACCTTCGCTCCGCAACCACCACGCGGGGGTGGACCGCATGAGAGGATGTCAGCTACAGCCGCGATGTTCGCGCTCGGGTCGGCGCGCGTCGCCATGCAGCTTCCTTGCTCCCCTGGTCTGCGCGCGCACAGGGGGCGACTCGCGAGTCGCATGGTCGGCTGGATCTCGGAGGCCGGCGCGCTGCGCCAATCTCAAGTCTCGCGCTGAGGTCGGCGCGTGGAGAAACGCCAGCTGCAGTCGCTACGCAAACGCCACACGGGGTGCGGGGGGGGGCTGCATGAAAAGACGTCAGCAGAGAGCGCCGCGTGCGAGCGGCGCGAAGCAGCGCCCTCCGGACGCGCCAGAGAGCGCTTCGCGCGAGCGGCGAGCAGGCACGGAACCGCCCTCGGGGCGCGCCCAAACGCGCCGCGCCCGAGCGGGCACGCACAAGAGATCCCGCGGGGCGCGCCAGAGCGCGTCGCGTGCCAGCGGGCACGCCAGAGGGCGCCCTCAGGGCGCGCCAGTGACTGCCGCGTGCGAGGGGGGCTCGCACAAGAGAGCCGTCGGGGCGCGCCGGAGCGGGCACGCACGGATGCGCTCTCGGGGCGCGCCAGTGCGCCGCGTGCGATCGGGCACGCGCTAGACCGACCTCGGGACGCGCCAGAGCGCGCCGCGTGCGAGCGGGCACGCACGAAAACGCCCTCGGAACGCGCCGAAATGCACCGCGCGCGGGCGGGAACTCACGAGAGGCGCCCTGGGGGCGGGCCAGGGCGCGCCGCTTGCGAGCGGGCACGCACTAAAGCGCCATCAGGGCGCGCCAAGGTGCGCCGCGTGCGAACGGCACGTGCGGAAAGGCTCTCGGGTGGCGCCCGCGCGGGGGGGGGGGGGGTGCAATGCTGAGCAGATCCGCGAAAATCCTCCGAAGACTCTAAGCCTATGGGCCCCCCTTCCTGGCCATCTCCGCGCGGACGAGGCAGAGAAGGAGGCGCACAAGGGGGAGGAGGGCGCCGCACGCCTTCAGAACCGCTTAGAGGCGGACGAGCTGACTCTCGTCCGCCCGCTGGCGTAGTGCATCTGGCACTCCGCTGAACGCTCCGACCCTCAGTCGCTCGCTGTCTGACGATTGTCAGGGCTTTCGCTCGCTCCCGAAAGAGAGAAAGAGAGAGCGAGAGAGGAAACAAGCCAAGAAACCAAGACAGATATATAGAAATAGAGAGAGAGGAAAAACAAATAAATGAGGCAGAGAGAGAGAGAGTGAGAGATAACACGAGCGAGCGAGAGAGAGAGAGAGAAAGACAAGGAAGGGGGGGAAACCGGCAGAGGGATTGGGAAAGGGCGGGAGAAAGGGGGGGCGATGAAGACGAGGGTGGAGTAGGGGAGAAGGAGGTCGAGTGGCTTCTCGTTGTTTAGGGAAGGGTCCAGGGGGTTCAAAAGCTAAGGGGGGGTACGGAAGGGGAGTCTATCGACTCTGGACTCGAAATGGCGGAGGTGAAGAAGAAGGTACGGAAAGGATGAGAGGAGGGTGGGGGGGGGGAGAAGGGAAGAAAAGGAAGGGGAATGAGGACGTAACACAAGAGGAACAGAAGGGGACATATGAGAAAAGGGGCATTTGAGAATGATGAGGGCGAGGGATGAGGACGCGGAAAGATGGTGGGCGGAAATGGAAAGAAGGGGGAAGGGGATGCGGAGCGGGCGAGGAGGGCTGAAAGCAAGAGAGGATTCCCCCCCTGGAGCAGCAAGAAAGCAACCCATGGCTGCTTCATCCCCCGAACCCTCCTCCCTGCTCCCCCTCCCTCCTGGGGGAACGACAAGATATCTGTGCCGCTGCCAACTCCTCCCTAGACACCTTCAGGGGCGCCCTCCTACCGTCATCTAGGACGAATCCAACTCCGGCGTCGAGGGAAGAGTAGCGAGATCGGTGTACGTTCCTACTCTGTCTGAATTTCCCCTCTCCTAGGAGAAGAAACAACTACATGAACATAAAATGCCAGAGGTCGGCATGGATGCATTGGATCGACGTTGCGGGGCCGAAGGCGCCGCCAGGGGGGTCCAGCGCAGTGCAGCTCCAAGAGATCGTCGCGGACCTTCGATCATGCTATACTCATGTGATGCTTCTCATTCAATCGCTCGTTCATCCTTCCCCTTCACCCTTCAACCCCCCACTCCCCTCTGAGGGGGAGCGATAGGGGATGACTCTCCCAGGGGGAAATATTGGCCTGGAAGCGGCGATACATCACCGAGAGATTGACGACAAGCCCCTGACAACCGAACCCGGCGCTCCTGGGAAGGGTGGGCCAGCAAGCCCTCATCGGGGATGAACGGGCCACTGGGGGTCGAATCGCGGTCCACCCCTGGGGCTAACGTTGCCCCTGACCTCCGCGTCGCCGCCGCCGTTCCCCGCCGAGGGCGCTCGGGCGGGCCGAAGCCTTGGCTTGATCGTCTCGCGAAGCAGGAGCGGATCGGAAGCGGATCGTCCCGAACCGAATCGAAATCGGATGGCCGCGCCTGGCTCCAGGCTCGCGCCCCGGCCGATGCCGGCGAACCGAACCGAACCGAACCGGATCGGAACTGCGGCGCCGGCCTGCGCATCCAGCCGCACCGAATCGAATCGTACGGCGGCCCCGGGGCAATCGGGCGGCCCGAAGGCCTCGAGGACCTCGTCCAGGGGCGCGTACACGCGCACCTCGAGCAGGGGATCGACTGCAGAATTGGTCTACCCCAGGATTGATCTTCGCGTCGGATTCGCGCTCAGTGCGCCGAATCCTCGCAGATCTACGGACATCCCACGTGTTGCTTCTGTCGGTTCGATGAGAAAACCATTTTGGAGGTAGATCCGCTCTGTCGTCGATCCCCTGTGGAAGCACCGCGGCCAGCGGGTCCAGCCGCGTGCGCTGCAGGGACACCACGGCGAGGCCGAGGGCCTGCCGAGGAGCCGCCCGCCCGGGGGGCCCGAGGCGCCGCCCTCCCCCTGCGGGTGCTGCAGCGCCTCCGCTGGCCTCCTCCCGCCTCCCCTGGCCTGCCCAGAGGCCTCTGAAGGGGCCCAGGGAGAAACAAGCAAGTAGACACAAGTTCGAGGTTGTACCGATTTTTCGAACATTTTGGGGTTTTCGCCTTCCCCCCCACTGCGCACATGTTCCCATGTTTCCTGGGAGTCGACGATTACTTGTGTAAAGGTGTGTGTGTGTGTGTGTGTGTGTGTGTGTGTGTGTGTGTGTGTGTGTGTGTGTGTGTGTGTGTGGCGAGGGCCCTCGCGGGGGCGAGCGCCAGGCCAAGCCGTGGCACCTCGTCGCCCGGCGGCCGCAATTGAGCGCCCTTGGAGAGGAGAGCGCCCCCAAGGCCAACGGCGGGCGCGCGCCCAGTCGCGGTGCAGGGATCCGATCGTGCGAGAGTTGGGCAGTGACAGCAGGCTCCGCGGCTGCCCGACATGGTTCGTGCAAGGTAGTCCAGCGGTAGTGCAGGACTCAGCCGATGTTAGGAAACGCTGGTGGAATAAGGTCATTAGCTAAAGTGGAGAGACCAGCGCGGGCGATAAGGGACCTCGTCGAAAAAGGTCGCCAGCTACAAGGCGGGAATGAGATCGTGCGAGAAGGCAGGCAGCGGCAGCGAGCTCGGTCAAAAAGGAGTCGTGCGACACACAACTCGGCGACAGCGCACGGACGAGATCTTGCGAGAAGGGCGCTCGTGGGGCTCGTCTCAAGCTACAGCGCGGGAATTTGAGCGTGCGCGCAGGCTGGACGTGGCAGCAGGATCGGTCGCTGCACGGGGGTGTGCGAGGCACATCGCAGCTAAAGGCGAGAATCAGTTCGTGCAAGAAGGCACGAAATGGCAGCTGGCGTTGTTTCTGCGAACAGAGGTCGTGCGAGAAGGGGTGGGACAGGTTTTCAGCCACGAGGAAAAGGCAGGCAGTGGCAACTGGCTCGGTTGCAACACGGAGTCGTGCGAGACGGATCTCAGCTGCAGTGCGGGGGTCCGAGCGGGCGAGAAGGCAGGCAACGGCAGCGGGGAATGCATCTCAACTACAGTGCTGAGATCTATCCGTGTGAGAAGGCAGGCAGTGGCGGCAAACTCTGTTACTGTACGCCCGGGGCGTGCGAGACACAGGTCAGCTAAATCGCAAGGGTCCGCTCGTACGAGAAGGGCGCCCGTGGGACAGGTGTTCAGATAATTGCAGTGCGGGGATCCGATCGTGCGCAAAGGCAAGCAGTGACAGCAAGCGCTGCTGCTACAGGGGAATCGTGCGATGCACATGCCAGCGCGGGAAGGCAGGCAGTGTCAGCAGGCACTGTCGATGCCATGGGGCTCGTGAGATCCAATCTCCGCTACAACGGGGCCTGCTGCAGGGGTCAGCTCATGTGCGAAGCGCGTCGGCGAAGGTCTTCAGATACAGTGCGGAGATACATTCGTGGGAGAAGCAGCTTCGCCGGGGCAGGCCAGGCTGGGACGTCAACTCTCCTGTCAGCGAGGCCGCGTCGTGACCCACGCTGCGGACCCAAAACTGTCAAGACCCAGCTGGATGCTCTGCATCCGCCTGCTCCTCCCCCCTGCCTCCAGACCGCGAGGGCGTAGATCTGGGTACGCCCGCCGCCTGTGACTTCCCACGGCGACCCGAAGGGTGTTTACGGCCGTGCTGGCCGCCGGCCCAGGCGACGACGAGAAGGCGCTTCGGCGCGACACGCCAACCACCTCTCGACTCCCAAACGTCGAGCCTCCGAGCTCTTCCCATCCTCCCGCCCCGCGGATAGGGGCGGCCGGATCGGTGTCTTCTGCCCGACCCGTCCCCCGTTCATCTCCGCCTCCCGTTTCTTCCCTGCCCTCCCCTCCCCTCCCGATCCTCCATCTCCCTCCCGAATCAAACAGACTCGTCACGCAGCAGGACGTGCTACTGGGCGGGATGGGCGATTCGCCCGAGACCGCCTTAGAATAATTGATTTCGGGCACTGAAGCACCCGAGAGGAGCTGCACGGATCCAGCACACGGACGTTGTCAAGCATTGGCTCTTAACCTAGCGCCGCGCACATTCGCCCCCGACGATTCGAACAGCTGGACGGATGGAGGGGGAATGGCTTCAAACGCCCCTACCGACCACCTGCCCGTCTGCCCATCTGCTGCTCGATTTCTGATTGGCGTAGTACTCGCCATCAATGATAATGCGGATGATGATGATGATGCTGCTGATGATGATGCTAATGATGATGCTAATGATGATTATGATGATGATCATGATCACGATCATGATCATGATGGTGATGAGGCTTGCATGCCCTCTGAGACCTCACTTTGCCAATCATCCCAGAGACGTCGGCCAGATACCGCCAGAGGCCTGTGCAAACCAACTAAAGGCCCAAGGCATATCTGAAGCCTGTGGTAATCGTTCATCCTCATCTCCTCCCGTTCCTCCGCCTCGTCGGCAAGTGCTGGGTTTTTTTTCTGGCCCTCCATCTACTCCAACACGCAGCCCAGTTGGCTCCGCTTGCCTTGACCTGGGGCAGAGGCCAACAGAAGTTCCAGCCAGACTCCTCATGACTCGTTCGAGCTGGCTAGCTTGACTTCCTCATCCAAATCCTACTCCTGTTCCTTCAGCCCCCCTTGCACTTCCTCCTCATCCTCTCCTCTCCCTCCTTTCCTTTCTCCCACTCCTCCCTCATCCTCCACCTCGTCCTTCTCCTCCCCCTCCTCCTCCTCCTCCTCCTCCTCCTCCTCCCCCTTCTCCTCCTCCTCCTCCTCCTCCTCCTCCTCCTCCTCCTCCTCCTCCTCCTCCCCCTCCTCCTCCTCCCCCTCACCTTGTTCCTCCTCCTCCAGCCATTATTCTCCTCTCGTGCTCCTCTTCGAAACTCGCCTTCTCGCCGATCTGCTCCGCAGGCGTCTCCCAGTGTGAGCGCAGCGCCGGGGTCACCTTCGGGTCGGGCGATGGGGGCCCGTTTGGGACCTTGGGCTTCCCCAAAAAACTCTGCAGACCTCATCCCGAGGACTCGCGTCCCCTCCAGAGAACTTCCTCCAGAAGGGTGCGGGATCAGTGCGAGGTAGTGGCAGGTGGAGGGTGAAAAGGGGGGGAGTGGGGCGTGGAAGAGGGAGGAGTGGAAGGGGGAGGGGGGGAGGAGTGAGCGGCATGTGAGGAGGGACGGTGGAAGAGGAGGGTGGGGAATCAGGGGATGGAGCGGAGGAGGAGAAAGGGGCGGAGGGTGAGGGGTAGAGGGGGAGAGGGCGTGGTGGCCGAGAGATGTGTCACTGGAAAGAGGACGGAGGGAAAAGGAGGGGGTGAATGATGCAGAGGACGAGCAGGGCCTTGGAGCACGAGGAGAAGAGGCCAACCATGGCGTCAAGCAGAGCGAGCCAGAAGGGAGGCGAGGACGAGGGACGGGGAGGGAGAGGGGGATGACGGCCAGGAGCCAGCAGGACGAGCTAAAAACTATCCCATCCCCTGCCCCCATCGTCGCCCAATCCCCCCTCCCCGTCCATTCCCCCACCTGCGTCGTCCCTTCCCGTGATGCCCCTCTCTCCCTCTTCCTCGCCCCGCCCGCGCCCCCTGCCACCCTCTCCCAGCAACCTTCTCTATGCCATTCCGTGTTTTTCTCTTCTTTGTTTTTGCTATTCTTGCTCTTTTGTTTTCTCTCTCTCACTCTCTCTCTCTGTCTTGATTGCCGGGCACAGAACGCCCGAGCTGGTCTCCGAGGAGGGCCTCCAGACTGCCTGCGCGAATGCACACGCAGTCGGCCCATGCGGCCCTTAGGTCGGAACCCGAAAACAGCAGCGGCTCACGTAGCCCAGGGCAGTCACAGCTGCACGGGACGCGCCTGTAGCCAGCCAGAGTACACGGGCGCCGGCGCCACGCCCCCTAGCCCGCCGGCCCAACGAAGCAACGGATTGCCCACAGCAGCGTCGGGACTTTAGTTCCCCCCACCTCCAAACGTCAGGAGGCCTCCGCAAGGTGACTCCGTTTGGAAGAGCCCTTCCATAGTGGATCCTGGGGCCAGATCCTACACTCGGGTGGCTATGCCGAACGGCAAGAATATGTCCCCAAGCTGCGTCCAGCAAGAGTGACGATTGAATTGCTACCCGCCGGATTTCCAGACACGGCCGCAGTCCATGTGGCACATGTGTAAGTTCCTTGTTTCTGAGTGTGTATTTCTCTATGTCTCTGTCTTTCTGTCTATGTTTCTCTTTGTTGGTCCTATCTCTCTCTATATGTCTCTCTCCCTGTGTCTCTACATTAACATAGGTCGCCACCTCTCTTCGTTTCTCTCGCTCGCACTCTCTCTCTCTCTCTCTCTCTCTCTTCCACACTCACCATTTTTATGTATATCATTATGGATGTATTCGTTTTGCGTATATATCAACATTGTGTGTACCTACGTTTATGCATGCATGGGTATGTGCGCAAACTGATTCACAACAACAAATTCAGGATGACACCAACGCCAGGCGCGACGGGATCTGGGGGGAAAGTGCGGTGGGTGGGGGCGCGGCCGCACCAAATCGGTGGCTCGCACTGCTGCGTTGCATCGGCTCGATATTGGGAGGATGTCTCAGGCAAAACGGCATTGTCTAGACAACGGTTTCAAAAGGGCTGGATCCGGGGAGGACCACGCAGCTGCACGGGGAGGGGGGGCAAAGGTGAAATGCGGCTGGCGGGGGCGCGGCATGGGGGCTCGAACCGGCTGGCTCGTACTCTGGCGCTGCATCGGTTCGACGTTGGGAGGATGCCTCCAGCGAGACGGCGCATTTTTCTACGAGCTGGGGTCAAAAAGGGCTGGATTCGGGGAGGATCGCGCAGCTGCGAAGGGGGGGAGATTGAATGCGGTGGGTGGGAACGCGGCCAATAAACTCGAGCTGGGTGGCTCGCACTCCTGGGCCGCATCGGCTCGATGTTTGGAGGGTGCCTCAAGCGAAACGACATCTGTCTTCAAAGCGGGGATCAAAAATTGCTGGCTTCGGAAACAATGTCTCAAGCAAAACATGTCCTTCACGAGTTACCTCACCCGAACGGCCGATTTTCTTTAAATCGGGCTTTGCCGGCGAAGCGTGTCCTGCGCGATCTGCCTCAACCTAGCAACTGGCCCCCCCGGGCTGCTCCGGCTCGATTCGGGGCGGATGCGATCAACGATCGACAGGGACCTGATTGGGGGAGTAAGTCGCAAGCGAAGCGGCCGCTGTCCGAGAAAAAGATTTCCCAAACGAAACGGCCCTTCTCTCTGAGTCGGGCTCAACATCATTGTAATTACGCCGCGCTTTCGAAGGTTTGATGCTAAACTGTTTAAAGCATGTGTCTTCTGGACCTGGCTTTCACGATCTGCGGGAAGGGCGCCACCAATGTTGGGAACGTTGAGAATGCCCCTAGCGACGCGGCCAGATAAATCGAAGACGCGGGGCGCGCCAATTCCCTCTGGGTCTCTTCTCCCATCGGAGAGGCGCGCGCGAACATGTCTATATATATATATATATACCATCAATCGGAAGCCCAGCAATCCACGACCCTAAGTACGTCAAGTGACCGACTAGTCGAACGCCGAGTCGCCCATCTCACAGATCCCGAAAGCATCCCCGCATGTTGTCGCAGGAATATCGGCGCTCGTCGCGCGACGTTCCCAGCGCCTCCGAGACGCCCAAAAGGGGCAGAGGAGGCAAACAACACTGATTTACACTCTTGCGTTGCAAAGCTTCATGATGTTTTCCGCTTCTGTCTTCGAACGTTCAGGCGGCGCGCTGCAGGGCCCCTGGAGTCGCTCCTGGGGGCCCCGAAGAGGGCCCCGCGACGGCTCCGAGGGCCCCGATGACCGACGAGAGCACCATCGGGATTCCCAAATGTCCCAAAATGCGCAACCAAAAGCCCCGAACAGGTTCCAAGAGCCGCGTCGATTTGTTCGAGCGAGGCGTCGGCGAGCCGTCAATTCCGAAGCGAGTGCAAAGGCGCGCGCGACGCACTCGTTTGTCGACTGCAAGTCTTGCTGATGGCGATGAGTGCACTTGCCTCGCGCGCGCAGTGCTCGATAAGCGTGAAGTGCCCTTCAACATGCGCTCCATCCATCGACCCCGCCCGCGCATGCCTCCACCGCCTCAGGAAAGACCCCCCTTCTGGGTTTGCGCCCAGGGGCATGGCGGCCGCGCGTGCTGGGGCGGCATGTCGGTTTTCAATTCGTTAGCCCGGAGAATCGCGAAATCGATGTTGAAGGAACCCCCGCTGTGTTTTAGCCGGGGCACGCGGCCCCGCCGCGTCCTGCCAGTGCTTATCTTATTCTGAGCGGCGCGCGCGCGTCGTCGCCCCCCCGGACTTCCTCGGCCCGTGGACTGGCACGGCCAGAATCGCAATCGCCATCGGTGACTGCATTCGCCGGCCGCCGGGAATTCGCGCCAAAAAAACACGGCGGCAAGACGGGCCAGGGTCGCGCCAGTCCGCCGCCGAGGCCACCGTTCCCTCTATGGCGTCGCACTGCCCCTTGGTTGGCAAGGAGGGCCTGACCACCGAAGGAGCAGCATTGGCAGCGCGCCCCAGCAACGCTGCGCGCCAACCTCCGCGCCCTGTTTTGCCGCGCCCCATAAGACCGCATGCCGCATGCTGCGCGCCGCGCCCCAGGCAGCACGCGCGCCGCCTTCGCGGCCAGCAGCTCTGCGTCAACTCAGCGCCAGACCCTCGGTTACTAAACGCAAAGGGCCCGCGGCGCCTGGCGCGGCCCGCCAGCTGCCCACGCCGCTGCCCCCGACGCTCGCTTCGTCGCGTCGCGAATCCTGCCTTCCGACGACGCCGCCGAGCCCCCGAGCGGCCGCGGCGCCCGCCTGCTGCCCTCTGTTCTGGGCGAGGCCTAAAGCTCGCGAGGCTGGCGCTCACGATCGCGTCGCATTCTCCCATCGCGTGTCGGGCCTTGTCAAGAATGGCCGCATTCCTTGCGGCCGGCGAATGCTGGAATACCTTCTTGGCGATGTCGTCCGCGCACTTTGCGAGTGTCCGCGATGTCTCTCGTCGCGCGACAGGGCCCTTCGCCACCGACCTCTCGCCCGCGTCGCCGTGCCCCCTCCGCCGCGCCGTGGGCGGACCCCCCGCGAGGCCCTCTTTGCCGGCGAGAACCTGGGCATGCCGCATGCCTTTTGCGGTGTGTGGGGTGGGGGGGGGGGGGGGGGGGGCACTCGCGCGCGCCGCATGCGCAATGAAGCGGCGCTGAGATCCCTGGAGCGCACAAGATCAGCAAGTGCCCCTTCCCATGGAGAGCCAGCTCGCCGATGGGGGGCGGGCTTGTGACATGCGCCGTGTCCATTGGGGAGTCCGCGCAGGTGCACTGCGACTGCTTCAACTGGTGCGCAATCGCCATGGAGGCCGTCGCACCTGCCCCTCGCCCGCGTCCTTTCGCGGTGCCACGGCGCTCCGGAAGCAGCGGGGTCGGGTCGCCCAGCCCCGAAGCAGCGCGCAAATGACGCTCTTCCGCGCGGGGCACTCTTCGCTGACGAGCAACTTCTTCGGCGCAAATCAATGATGTCATGAGCTGCAGACAACCCAAATGCAGATTCGCCTCGATGGAAATGCTGTCCGTGTCGCCCACGCCCTTGCTCGCGGTGCCCCTGAAAGGGGCCCCATGCCATCCCGCAGATCTCCGCTAGCGGCGACTGCACTGGACATGCATTCCTCTACGGTGTCGCCCAGAAGTGTTATTCCTGCTTTGTCTAGCTTACTTCAAGGGATGCGTCGGTCGCATGTTCTCAAGCAAAAACAAGGCGCTGCTGAAAGTCGACTGTCACGGGATCCCCAGGCTCTGGCATGCGGAAAAATCGTCGGGCACTTCTTGACAGTCAAGCTCTGACCCAATCCTCGCCATTTCCAGCCGACTTGTGGCCCTGCAAACTTGCCCGGACCGTCTAGCTGCCTCGCGGTCCCGAATGTATTGTCCGATGGCCTCTCTGGTCTTGTGTCCCACCCGATTGCAGACTTTTCCATTTTTCGACACGAGATTGAAAAGAACTTCGTTTTTCTTCACTCGATACCCCATGCGGCTTCACGTAGGTCACGCTTTTACATGAGCACCGCCAGCCTCGCCCATCGAAGGCTTTTGTTGTTCACGTCGACGAAATGCGGCTCACATAACAACGCTCTGGCAATGTACTCCATCTCCTTTTCCGTGCAAAAACAATGGACCACTGGTGTAGGCTGTCGTCCAGCAGCGTCCCCGCTGCGTCATTTTGTCAAAAAGGCGTTGAACGTCTCGAGGTTGCGGCCCCCGTGCCCAGTCAGCGTATCCCTTTTCCCACGTTTCTCTTTCCAGCCCATCATTGCTATCTCTGCGTGTTGCCAACATGTCGTACAAGGTCTTCGCGTGTACCGGCGCATGGCCCGTCAACTCCTTGCCTGGAAATGATTGAAGCCTGCGCCCTAGCCGCAGTAGGTGGTGCAGCCTGCGTGCAGGCGCCCTTCCATGCCAAGGGTCCCATGATGTAGTCTAGTCTAGGTTTCACTCCGTTGCCGCCAAACCAGGTCGGCGCCGTCGTGTCAGCATACACCGCCATCCCAAGCCGAAGGAACACTTCACGCATCTGTCCGCCCGCCCCCTTAGTGAAGTCCTTGGTGGCACCTGGTCACCTCCTCGCCGACGTACCCCAGCGACTTCAAGGAGCCTGCTCCGATACCGTCGCCCAGGTCTGTGGAAGTGAGCGGCAGGGAGGAGTGTGGCGCACGTAGAGGCACCTGGCCCAACCATTGTGTCATTATTGTGCAGGTATCTCTGTAGTGAGTCCCCGCCCTGGTCGACCTCGGTTTGGCCAAATTGTACGCCGCGACAGCTGTGATGTCCATCGGACACATGTTTGCATCTGGCCGCTAACAATCGTCCTTGAAGGGGCGCTTGGCTGCAGATGGGTGCGATTCAACCGGCGCACCCACAGGAGCCTGCAACCAGCCGATTGGTTCGTGTATACTCCAGAACCCCGCCAGAATCAATTATGAGCCGCCCAGTGGCATCAGGCGGGAGTCCGTGCGTGTAGTGTGAGGGCGCGTTTCTCTGCGTGCTTACCAGCGCGAGGACATCGGAATTCGCAAACCTCGTCCGCTATGTCCTCGGCCCTGGACCCCAGCGCCGACAAGGGGGTTGAACACCCCGACGATTAGTGGCATCGTCCGCATAGACCTGCCAACGCTATGCGTGGCCGCGCACGTGGCAGCCGCAATCGCCCGCGCCGCAGCACGATTCCTGGTTGCGTTGGAGGGGCTGGGGACCCCCGCGTCGGTCCTGCATCTGGCTTGCGAACGGGGACTAAGGACGAGGAGGAGGAGGAGGAGGAAAAGGAGGAGGAGGAGGGGAGGAGGAGAAGGAGGAGGAGGAGTGGAGATAAAGACGGAGAGAGAGAGAGAGAGACAAATAAAAAACGAACAACAAAGAAAGACAGGGGCACAATCAGGATGTTGGGAAGGAGTTTGATGGTGTCACGCTGGTGTCTCTGGAGCTCCCTGGAGGTCCCCCCAGAGATCCCCCGGAGGCCTTCGGAGGCAGGAAGGGCAGCAAGCACGTCTACAAACCCTGACGCTCGAGGATCGAGAAAGAGAATAACGACGACGAGGGCGGCGTGTCGCCGCGATGCGGTCAGCGGTCGACGGCGTGTCGCACAGGGAGGTGCCGAGGGCCAAGCACAGGTCGCACTTCAGCTCCTCCAGGCGTCGGTGAATTGACGGGGACAACGACGACGCCTCCGACGAGGGGAGTCCAGCCGTGGCGACATTGACGCTTCAGGAGGTCTAAAGCAGCGGAGAACGCCAGAACAACTCGATCCTCGACCCTCATCGGTCTTCCCTCCCCATCCCTCCGTTGTCGTTCCTTCCTCCGTGCTAGGAGGCGTTTGGAACAGAGACTGAAGTCGGGAGGCTTTCCCCGTGGTGGGTTGTTCGTTCCAGATCGTATATTGCTTGCCCTGGGGGGCGAAAGCAGCCCCGAAAGGTCAAAGTCATGTGAGGAATCGCCAGAGGTGTTGCTTCATTTGTTTCTTGAAGACAACACGACGCGTCGAATATCCAGCTCCCCCCCCGCACATGGAAGACATAGGGCACGGCTGATGGCATGCGACGATTGGTCTACCCTGGCCCGGTCTCCGGCGGATCCTGCCGTGGCGACAGAACAAAAAAGCAACTCTTGCAGGGACGAAATCCCGCTTGGGAGGGGCGCCGCTGTCTCGACTGGCCCTCCTCGTTGGTCCCCTGACTTTGGAGGCCCTCTTTCTCGCCGTCGTGCTTCTCCAAAGCACCGAAGCAGGAGGAGCTCGTCCCCCCCCTCCTCCCAATCGTCCTCCCCTCGTCCTCTTCCCTCCTCGTCATCCTCTTCCCTATCCAGCGTAGTCAGTCTGACCACTTGCATGCTGCATAAATAGCAAGGCCACTGACATGCGAGGACAAGCCGAGCACACGCCGACCGTTGCCATGCCCTCATTTCTGATGCGCCTGCTGGACACACTGAGAGGAAACGTTAGGGAGGTTACCGGCGCAGGAGGGAAAACAACGAGCTTGTATCGGGAATGCATCGCCGACAGATCGGCGATATGCCCCCGCTCCTCAATCCGCACGTTCCTGGACGCGGGGCGAGCTATCGGGACCCCATCGGCGACGAAAGGGCGACTGGGAGTCGCTGCGTCCCCCCCCTGAGCCCTTATCCCCCCCCAGCAATGACCCTGGCTTTGCTCCGACGACGCAAGGGCAGGAGGACTCCTCCGCGCTCCTCGGCCAGCAGGGCGGCGAAGAGGTCCTCCCGCAGCGGCTCCCCGAAGCCCACCTCGACACCCGAGGCCCGCACGGTTGGAACTTCTGGGCAAACCACTGTCCGACCCTCCTGGACAGGGAAGGTGCAAAGACTGGTCTACTCTGTAAGAACGGTTTTTGTTGAAGGAAGATCTACCTTCAAAAAACCGTTCTTACAGAGTAGACCAGCCTGTCCTCCTTGCAGGAATGTGCCGCACAGGAGGGCCGAAGTCCTGGTCTTCGGCGCGGAATCCCGCAGAACGGAGCCCCGCAAAACCTCGACCCCGGGGACCGTGCACACTTCGACACGGAGTCCCGCAAAACGGGTGACATCGGTCCTCCCGGAGCGATCTCGTCGCCACATCCGGACTCCCCTCGGAATTCTCGAAACAGCGCGTCCCAGAAGAGGCCCTGGGGTCAACGGTGGGGTGGATGAGAGGCACGGGCGGGCCTCTGGAGCCGTGGCCCAAACTGCGCCATATCTGCTTCGCAGCACTCGCCACCGAAGAGGGGGACCAATAATAAGGAGGCTGGTGCGCATCATGGCCCAAGACATGTGCGCGGACGAGAGGGATACAGGGAACGTATTGAAAGACAAATCCCGCGTTTCGCAAATCAGGCGCGACAAAAGAAGGGGGGGTGAAGAGAAGTGCACCTTTCACGCACCTCCAGGGTCGAGGAGACCCCTCGAGGGCCCCTGTCCTGCAACCCGCGACCCGCCCCCCACACATGGCCCCCCACACCATGACGAAACTCCCCAAAAAACAGGATGCCATGAAATCCAGAGAGCTATCATGGCCCTGGCCATGATATCCACCCCGTCCTGGTTAGCCATCATCACCCTCCTAAACGCCCCCGACAGAGCATGTCCATTGCCCCAGGACCGTGACTGTCAGAGAACAGACTGGAGATGACCACGGATGCGTAAAACAAATCGGACCTGGGGTGCCCGAAGTTGCCTGGCGGAGCTGGTAGACAAAATACGGAGCCCAGTCCGAAATTCGGCGCGAACTCCCGCTGCGCTCTCACGAGAACAGGACCGTCAGCATCCTAACAATCAAAAAGCGGCGGCAAGCCCGAAGTCAGACAAACTCGAGCCGCACGCTTCCCGAAACCCTCACATCCGATGATACGATGTTGCTCCATGCGCGGCCCCAGACGTCCCGACCCGTTTCCAGAAACCAGTTGCTGGTTCCAAACCCAGATTCCATATGTTATGTTGCCCGTACTCGGAAACGGGTCCTAGGAGCCGAAATCGAGGAGAACGCCAGAACTGAAAACAATGTATTGACCGAGACCTGGGAAGGAATAGCCGGCCCCGGGGACGGGACGAAAGCTCTGTGGCCTACGGATGGGTGCAATAGGGTGACGCAATAGAGGGCGACGGTGCGAGCACGGGAGGCCAACGTGAGTCTTCAACGATCCTGACCAGTCCGACCCTGCGGGCCCAGCAGCGGTGGGCACGCGGTCCTCCTCCTTCTCCTCCTCCTCCTCCCCCTCCTCCACCCCTTCCCCTCCTCTCCCTCCTCTCCCTCCCCTGCATTCCAATGCCGCTTCCCGTTTCCCCGGTCTCTCTCCCACAAGATATGCGGGTACGCCGTCTGGCGCGAGGAACGCATCACCCAATCTCAGTATCGTTTACCCGATCTCCATCCCCATCCCCATCCCCATCCCGAGTCCCACAATCTCACTGCCCCAATTGGGGATGTACCCCTTGAAACCCGAAGAGAACAGCCTATATCCCCATCTGGGGTGATAGATCGGCCGGTGGGGCCCAGCCCACGCTGGTGGGGATGGGCATCGGTTAATTGATACTCACAACCGCGAGCTTAGGCCTCGCCAGGATCGATGCAGGCGGTCCCCCGCTGCCCACCGTGGGGTTCGCGGGGTCGAACCACGAGCCGTGAATCTCGTTCACGAAGGCCTCCATGTGGGGAGAGGGCCCTCGCCAAAATCGACGTCTTGGCCATTGTCGTCAGAGGGGGGGAAAGAGAGGGAGAGAGAGAGAGAGAGAGAACAACGGACAACAAAAACAGCGGCAGGAGGGCGAAAAGTGGAGGACACTGAAATGGAATGGAGTTTGCAACAAAAAGAAACAAATCACTTCCGACTGGGCTCACATCCTTCCCCTCACAATCCTCCTCAAACCGGGCGGCGGGCGGCCGCCTGAGTTCAGGAGTCGAAGCTGGGGAGTGTCCGAACTTGCTGCGTTGGCCTGAGGAGGGCGAGAAGAATTGGGGTTCGGGGGAGACCGAGGGAGAGAAGAGGGACCTGAGTCGCCGCACGCTCCGACGACTGCCCCACACCCCGTCCTCTCCGCCGTGCGCTGGCTTGCTGCGGTGTCTCTCGCTCCCCCTTCAACTCCTCCCCGTGTCCGCGTCTGCTCGGAAATTCTGAGTTTCCCATTCCTCCTCTCCCCAGAAAGCGACCATGGAGGCCTCCCACATGGGGCCAGAACATTATTACGGGGTCCGAGAATTACGCTGCATCGCCGATGCGTCGGCGGTGTATCAGCGACCGAGGGATGTAGAAAAACGATCGCCAGATCACAGCGTATAGCCTGTGCACAGCTGACACGGCGCGATGCTCCGACCCTTTCTGCTCCTGCCCAGTACGGGAGGCCTGAACAAGGACCCCATCCAAGGATTGGCTCTGGCCAGGAGGTCTCGAGGCGGATCACAGTCGTGGCCACGAGGGCGACCCTCGGGAAGCTCACGAGCAGGAGAACTGAAGATCGAGGTTCTTGGCAGCGTGTCAGGCCCCGCTGGGTGGAGACTGTCGGGATGATCCTCCCTTCCTGGGGACAACGACATGGGTGAACTGGCTTATGGGGGAAAAATATCGAGCTGGAATCGGCGATCCATCGCCGATGGATAATCCGCAGGTTCCTGGGCGGGGTGGGCTGTCGGGCTGTCGGGCCCCCAGCGAGGCGATCAGGGGTCGACCCCTGAGCCTATCCCTCTGAACGTTGCCCCCGACGCGCCCTCGAACGACGAGACGGCGACCACGGCGTCGGTGGGGGCGGCGACGACGGCAGCGATCACGGCGGCGTCTGCGGAGACGGTGACTTTCGGCCAGAATCCGCTCAAGAGGTGCTCCTGGAGAGCCCGTTCGGGGCCACCTCCCTCCGAGACGCGCGCCGAGCCGTGGCGGCGACGTGGGCCCCCAGAGGCCTCCGGAGGCCTCTCAAGCGAGGGCGGCGGCCGGCCGGCACTCCGAGCAGCGACGTGCCTGGAGCGACGGAGTCGTGAGGCGGCGGCGGCGTCGGCGGCCGCGGCCGCCGCGGCGGCGGCCGCGCCACGCCTGCGGGACGCCGGCGCGCTGCGGCAGCCCGTCGTGGTTCTGCTGCACCCAGCCGTGCAGCAGCCCCGCCGCCCGCATAGCTTCCAGCGCGCGGTGCCCGGCCTGTTGCCGCCCCGAGGTGGCGACGACGAGGCGGCGGCGGCGACGACGAGGCGGCGGCAACGGGGGCGGCGGCGGCGACGGCGACGACGAGGCGGCGGCGGCGGAAGCGGTGACGACGAGGTGGCGGCGGCGACGGCGGCGACGGCGGCATCGACGAGGCGGCGGCGGAGATGGCGGCGGCGGCCAGGAGGCGGCGGCGGCGGATATGGGCGGCAGCGTTGAAGCGACGACAGCGGCCACATCGGAAGAACCGGTGCGATGCGACGACAAGGCAATGGCGCGGCGCGGCGAGGGCGATGCCAGCGGCGGCGAGGACGGCGGTAGCGGCGGCGATAACGATGGCCAAAAACAGCACTTCTGCAAATGCCAATGCCTCTCGGACATCGCGACATCTACATGATTGAGACAACCACTACGACGACAATGTTCATCCCCCTTCTCGCTCATCGTCCAACATCCTCTTCAAGTCCCGCCTCTTTCCCTTTCTGCTCGCCATGAGAGTTGAGAGAAAGGGGGGAGAAGAGTGGGACGATGACAAGGAACAGAGTGGATCGTGAGATGAGATGGCGGAAGAACAAGAGGGTTGGCAATTAGCCTGCCGAATAACCCAACCCTGTACGTCTGCGTGTAGCGCAAGTTGTTACCCAAACTTCATACTTCGCGCCGCGGGGCAATGTTGTGGCAGCGCCATGCACCATGCGGTCGCGCCCACTGGAACCATCGCTGGAGCCCCCTACGGGTCGCTAAACGGGTGAGAGGCGTGTAAAAATTGGCGCGGCGGTGCCAAGCGATCGCTCCCACTGGGACCGTATCTGGGGCTCCCCAATGGATACGAAACATGTGACGGTGTGCCGAATTGGGCGCTGGAGGTCTCCCACATGGGGCCAAAACGTCAATGGTCAAACCTCATCGCCGGTGCATCGGCGACGGCGTGATAAGCTCAAGATCGCGACGCATCGCCGATACATCAACCATCACCGGCGCGACGATTCTTCGATCCATCTGATCCGTCCCCTTTGGGAGTCGCGAGCTGTTTTTCGGAGGGCCTGTCGAGACATCGGAGGCTCTCCCGCCCAGCCCGAATCCCCTCAAACTGAACCCCCTAGACCAACACATCCCGAGGTCCAGCCCGACCTGTTCTCGAATCTGGTCCAGCCGTGGGAGGGCCGCCGTGATCTCCACTGGCCCTCCTCCGACCGTGGCTATCAGTCGGCCGAGCAGTAGTCCAAATCGGAGCACCCGTGCTGTCGCTCCGAAGCTCTCGGTAACACGCAAAACCCCGTCAAGAACGTTTGAAGACCCTGCGCTGTCCATCTCCACAATATCCTGCTCCACCTGCCACGTAATCCTCGCCGTTATCTTTTTTCCTCTTCCTCTTCCTCCTCGTCCTCCTTCTCCTCCTCCCCCACCTGATTCCCACCACTATCATTCTATCCTCGTCCTCGCCCTCTGCAATCGTCCATCTCCTAGTCCTCCTTGTCCTGTGCCACCACATCTCCCGCCGAATGTCAGCTTGCGATTGATAAAAGCAAACCGCGCGCGTGATTGAAAGAATGGCTTCACTGCTCGGGCAAATCGCAGGGGTGCGCCCGCCAAATGCAAACACACCATCGCCACCTACTATAATCGTCCATCTCCTCCTCCCTCTCCTCCTCATCTTTCCCACCTCCCTCCAAATGTTCTGGACTCCTTCCTGACACGCGCTGGATACGCTCCCAACCGGAACCCACAGACGCTCGCAACACTGACCTTCCCCCCGAAATGCGTCGTTCAAAGCACACGGAACGAGTCCGATGCATCGGCAGCGTCGGCAATGCATCGGCGACGTCGGAATGAAGAAAGCCGGGCTCCAAATCGAGGCCATATCGCCGAGGACATCGGCGATGCGGCGCGACGCTCCCTGGCAACATCGGATCCTCCCACTCCTCCTACTCCTCCTAGATCCTCATCCTCGGCCTCAAAAGGCGAACGCGGGGAAGGGCAGAAGCATCGGGCATCGGTGCCCCCTCCTCACCTGACCCCCACCCCTTGCCCCCCGCGCGCTGCGCGTCCCTCCTCCTCCTCCTCCTCCAACTCCTCCACGGGCCTCCTCCTCTTCGATCCTCGACCCTCCTGGAGCCTCTTCCCTCCTCCTCGATCCACGACCCTCCCTCCTCCTCGATCCACGACCCTCCCGCCTCCTCGATCCCCTCCTCCATCCTCGATCCTCCCCGCGCGCCGTCGGCTGCAGCGCGGGCCAGTCCCTCTCGGGCCGCGGGTCCTTCGGCGGCGGAGGGGACAGGGCCGGGCGGGCCAAGGCGGGCCGCCCGGGGAGCACGGCTGGGCGACCGGCGCCCACGGGCCACGCGGACCGCGACGGAGACGCCGCCATCGACCGCGACGAAGACGACGTCGATGACGACGCCGACGCCATCGACGCCGCCGACGCCGCCGACGTCACCACCACAGACGACGTAATCGCCCACAACGACGGAGACGACGTCGAAAACGACGTCGATGACAACGCCACAGGCGCTATCGAAGACGCCATCGACGACGAAGACGACGACGACGACGACGGCGACGACGCCGACTCCATCGACGACACTGACGAGGACGAGGTCAACAACGACGAAAGCGACGACGCCATCGCCTACGACGACGAAGAAGACGTCGAAGACAACTCCGCAGGCGCCATCGAGGACGCCATCGACGACGACGACGACGACGCCAACGCCGCCGACGACGAAGACGACTACTACGACGACAACGACGAACAAAAACGGCGCCGACGACGCCGCCGACGCCATCGACGACGCCGTCGACGCCGACGATGATGCCCACGACGACGCCGACAACGACGCTGGGCGCCGTTGGCGCAACTGGCGACCCGCTGGATCGGCCAACACCGAATCGGTAAATTGGTCCGGATCGGAACATGCGCTGGATCGGGCCTCACTGGCACGGAGGCAAAGTCGCATCGGATCGGCCGAGCCAGGAAGCACAACAGCGCCGCTCAAGCATCAGTTCGCATCGGCCCGTCGAGCACGACGTCGATGTCGCCGACGTCGACGACAATAACGACGACGTTCTGGCCCGTCCGCCCGCGCGACCGACTCGCCCACGACAACGTGTCCCGCACGCCCGACCGACTGACCAACGGCGAAGACGCCGACGTGTTCTGCTCAACCAGCCGACTCGACGACTCGACGACGACAACGACGACGTCGACAGCGACGACGACGTCGACAACGTCCATGTCATCCTCGTGGCCACGTGGTCGACGACATCGTCGTCGTCGTCATCGACGCCGACGAAGCTGGCAGCCGCTCCGCGGGGGCGCCGAGGCTGCCCGCCGCCCTGCTCGCGTAGTCCCCGATGCCCGCCGCAGTGCTGAGGCCTGCGCCTCGGCGTCGGCGTCACGGTCGAGGTCGTCGTCGTCGACGTAGTCGTCGTCGACGTCGTCGTCGTCGTAGTCGTCGTCGTAGTCGTCGTCGTCGACGTCGTCGTCGACGACGACGTCGTCGCGACGTTGTTCGACGTCGACGTCGCCGTCGTAGTCGTCGTAGTCGTCGTTCTCCGACGTCGCCGTCGTAGTCGTAGTCGTAGTCGTCGTCGCCATCGAAATCGTCGCGACGTCGTAATAAGCGTCGTCGTGAAGTCGTCGAGGCTCGAGGATCCAATTTCGAGGATCGGGGATCGTCGATCATTGATCGGATGGGCCGAGTGCCACTAGTCAGCTTACACCACGTACACTAACACATAACTTACATCACAATTGTACAACAACTATCTTATATGTTCCATTGCACATCAACACATGGCCCGCACTCCATAAATAATCTCTGGTCGAGGGTTCACAGATCCCCCCTGATTGGATGGGCCCAAAGTTTCCACAGCCACCCCCCAGATGGGATGGGTGGGGGACGACGACGACCACGACGACGACGACGACATTAACGACGAAGACGACGACGAACGACGAAGACGACGAAGACGACGACGACGTCGACGGCAATACCGACGCCGATGCCGACGCCGACAACGACGCGGACGCCGTCGCAAACGCCGCCAACACCGGCGCCGACGCCCACGCCGACAGAAGACGCCGACGCCCACGGAAGACGACGACGACGAACCACCCCACACCCAAAAGGGGGGGCACTGGCACCTTCCGCCAAGCCGCGCCCACAGGGCCACGACTAGGGGGGGGGAACGATCCTATTCGCGAGGCCTTCGCGAGGCTCACGGGTGCACCCGTCCAGCACGGGGGGTGGGCGCGATCCCATATGCACTTGGGGGGAAGTCCTGAATCAGATATTACACCACGTAGCTTGCACCACATGGTTTTAGTAAACAGTGCTAGCTTACCACTAATTAGCACCACGTAGCTTTCACCGCATATTTGAGATATCCATGATGATATGATTTACTGTGTGAGGTTCACGCCAACATAAATTATCAAATGCTGATACATGTCCGCCGTCCCCCTTGTGGGGGGGGCCACCAGGTTGCGCGGGCTCGGCTGTTACGCCCCCTGCGCCACTTCCACTGCCCATTTCACGAATGAATCTGTTGTGGTGTCTCGTTCCCCTGTCGTAATGGTTTAAGTCCGTGCAAAGGGGGGCGAACAAGAACTGTACTGACTCAGAACCGCGTCATCAGAAGTTGTGGGGGGATCTTTAGGGCACGTGAAATACGACATATTCGCGTCGCAGCCCAAACCAACTGTCATATTTTGGTTCGGGATCCAAGTTTGGAGGACATGCTTCGGTCCCCCGTCGTTTCATGACAATGCTGCGGTAACTTTTTGTTGTAATTGGTGATGGAAACGCGCTCCCGAAGTCTCGAGACCCCGTAAAGTGTAATAGAAGGGTGTTCCCGTGGCCGCCATCACGTAAACAGTATTGGGATTGCGCACAACTGGCCAGGCAGCAAACAACACTTTAGACAGCGAGCCAATCGGCCTAGCTGCCAACCAGCCAGCCGAAAAGAAAGCCAGCCAACCGACCAACCCAGCGCGACCGCGCAAGCAATCTCGGGGGGGGGCGGTGGCAGAGGGCAGCGAACTTCAACCCCGAAACAATGACTGCATTTAGGGGCCTTGCTTCTCTTCGAAGGAACTGGGCCTGCGGGCCATTCTGGCTGCCGCCGTCGCCGCCTCGTCGACGCCCATCGCCTGGGCCTGGAGCCGCTCTGGCCGCCATGTGGCCGCCGTCGCCGCCCCGTCGCCGCCTCGTCATACATAGATTGCACTGCGTAGATTGTACGGCGCAGATTTCACCACAAACACACACACACACCACACCTCATAGATGGCACCGACTTGTTATTGGCACTGTGCGCCCACGAGAACGGTTCCAGCCCGACCGACGGCAAGGACAGCATCGCTGTGGATGCTCTCGCTGTTGGCGCTGGTAGCGAACACGCGCGCGCGCCTGCGCAACGCGTATCGCCAAAATTCTTCTGCGTAAACGCGGATGCCTCGTGGACGGCGCCGTTTCGAAGCGACACGGATTGCACAGCATAATCACACGCAACGGACCGTGCGCCGATCGATGTTTTGCGAATAGTCACGCTCACTCAAGCCCAGTGACCGAAGAGCCCCGCGCAAACCTGGCCGACGGCCCGGGCGATCTCGGGCGCCTCGGCGCGAGCGCCATCCGTGGTTGCCATCTCTACGGCCACGACGCCCCAAACGCCCTTGGCCAGGCGAGGCCTCGATCACCTACGACGTAGACGCCCGCCCGCCACACACGACGTAGACGCCCTCTTGGCTTTCAGGAGGTCCTTCTCCCATCGAGGGCCCTCCCGCACTGCCTCGGAGCCCTCGCCACACGCGACCGCTCCGATCTCGCCGACGATCGCACCTATCACGCTGGCATTCTGATTCGCCTCCAGCACCCTATTATTGTTTTCGCGCCTCCTGCTGTTTTTGCCAGCCTCGCCTGGCACATCCGCCTCCGCCGCTGCCACACGCAACTCGACGACAACGCCTTCCTCGAGGCGCACCGCGGCGACGCGGGCCGCCACCCCCGCGCCCATCCTCGTGGATGCCGCCTGGTTGGCCGAGACGATCATGTGCAAGGTCTCCGCATTGACGTCAGTGGCCGACCAACAATGCTCGTCGGCGTAATCTCGCTGTCGATGCCATCGGAGGCATCGGCCCACGACGCCCACGAAGCGCGACCCGACGCAGAAGTTTCATGGGGACAGGACCACGCCGTCCACCGCCGAGCACCGCCTCGTGTCCACCTCGAGGCCTATTTGCACACACTGCTGTCTCTCGCAGCCGCCACCCATGGAACGGGACTCGACGCAAAGGCCTACCGAGGACGAGACCACGCCGTCCTGCATGCACTGCACCACGTCGCCGTCGATCGCACTCCCCAAGGCGACCTCGCAGCCGCCGTCCACGAAACGCGACCCGACGCCGAGGTCCGCAGAGCACGAGACCACGCAGTCTTCCGCCGAGCTCTTCATATTGCCGTTGGGCCCGCAATGCTCCTGCAGCGCGTCCCGCACGGTCTTCTGGCCGTCCGCCAACTTGGGCAACGGCGGGACCTTCGGCATCCTGCTGCCCGAGATCCCCTGCACCGCCGTGTCCACCTCGTCCGAAACGCCACCCTCCTCGAGGACCATGTCCGTCTCCGCGCCGTCGCCGTGGAGCCACGCGCATTCGAGGGCATCCACCCAGAACGCGCCCGCGAGGAGGGAAGGCCCTCGACCACCACTTCGGCCGCTTCGCACTCGAGACGCACTCGGCCGCACTCGGTGTCGTCCTCCTCGCTCGAACCGATGCGGAAACACTCCACCTGCTCCAGCCTGCGAGCCGCCAACGCCGTCGCCCTGCAGGCCGCGTCCACCTCCGCGACTGGCTCCAGCAACGCTGCCTGTCTGCCGCCGTCCAGCAGATCGGGGCCACGGCGAAGAAGGGCATGGGAGGGTAAGGGAGAACGCGGTCGCAGACACCAAAAAAACGTCATCGCGCGCCATGCCTCTCCCACCCCGCCCCGCCGTGCGCCCCGAAGGAGATCCACGCGCAAACAACAGCAACAAACTGAGCCAGACACACTACGGGGCTCGCACCCCGTTTGGACCACGCACCGCGTCCAAGCGAGGCTTGAGCAGAACTGGCTCAAGCTGAAATGGTTTGAACCAACATGGCAATGGCACATGGATTGTACCAGATACGTAGGTTGCACGGCATCTATAGAAAGGCGAATATTGCACCGCATATATTGCACCACTGGTTGAAATACACAGGTCGCATCAACTATACTGCACCGCATAGACTGCACCACATATTCGGAACAACCTATATGTTTACAGAACCATATGTATATATATACACATATAAATATATAAGAACACGTAGGCTGAACCACATGACATGCTAACACACGATGTTGGGAGTTCACGCTTGTTAGTACTTGCAAATGTAGGCACGTCGACGTATACACGTAAACCGAAATTATGCATATGTATGTGTGTATGTTTTCATGTATGCATCGATGTGTGTATATGACTGCATGGTGTGTGTGCGCGTGTATGTATGTATGTATGTATGTATGCATGCATGCATGCATGCATACATGCATGTATGGATGTGTGTACTTGCGAGTTGGTCGATGTATGTGTGTATGCATGCATGCATGCATGGATGTATGCATGTGTACATGTATGTGTGAACATATGTGTGAACCTGCATTTGTATTCATGTCTGAACGTATGTGTCTATATGCACGTGTGCATGAAACGATGAGTGTTTGTCTGCTTGTGTCTGTATGCATGTACCAATGTTGTATGTATGTGTGTATGTATGTGTGAATGGGCGTATGAATGTATGTATGCATGCACGTATGTATGTAGGCATGTATGAATGTACGCGTACCCATGTTTGTACCGCTATATTAATGTATGTTTGTGTGCATGTATGTATGTGTAGATGTCTGTGTATGTGCGAGAGAGCGCGTTCCACGGGCGCTAGCCTTGGGAACATTCGGCGGCGCGCTTCGAACCAAGGGGTGGCCCCCCCCCAACATTCGGCGCTGGCGATGGAAACCAGGGGGACTCCCCTCCCCCCCAAACCCCCCCCACCCTCTCGAAACCCCCCTGCCCCCCTCGGCGCCGGCGCTGGCGGCCGCCAGCAGCGCCGACGGCGGGGACGCAGCGACGATGACCAGAGGCAGCCAAAGGGGGGGGTCCAACCCCCCCCCTGGCGCCAGCGCCGACGCCGGCGCTGGCGGCTGCCAGCAGCGCTGGCGCTGGCGCTGGCGACGGCGGGGACGCAGCGACGATTACAACCACTACCACCACCACCACTACCACCACCATCACCGTCTCAACCCACCACCACCACCACCAACCCACCACACAACCACCACCACCACCACCACCACAACTCACCATCATCACCACCACCACAAAAACCCACCACCACTACCACCACCACCACCATTATCTACCACACCACCACCACCACCGCCACAACCAGAACCACTAACAGCGGCACAACCCACCACCACCACCACAAACCACCACACCAACAACACCACCACCGCCATCACCACCACCATCACCAGCACCACCTCCACAAACCACCACCACCACCACCACCACAACCCACCACCACCACCACCACCACCCAACCACCACCACAACCACCACCACCACAACAAACCACCACTACCACCACCACAACCACCACCACCGCCACCACCACCACAACCCAGCATCACCACCACCTCCGTCGTCCTCGTCGAAGCTCCCCGCCGCCGCCGCCCGCGCCCAGAAAAGGGAATCGTCGTCCCCGCCGCCGCAGGCGCTGGCCCGAGGAGAGGGAGAGAGGAGACGTAGGGGAGGAAATGGGGGGGGGTGGTCGAACCCCCCCCTCCGGCACGGGAGAGGGGGGTGGGGTGGGGGGGGTTCGAAACCCCCCACTGCATCCAGGGGGGGGGGTCTGGTTCCAACCCCCCCCCTCCAAGCGACCACAGAACGCGCTCTTTCGTATGTGTATGTGCGTATGTGTGTTTGTGTGTATGTGTGCATGTATGTGTGAATGTGTGCATGCAAGTGTATGTGTGCATGTGCGTACGTAAGTACGACTGTATACGTGCATGTAAGTATGTGTATATGTATGTGTATGCATGGATGGGTGGATTGATGGATGGATGTGTGTGTGTGTATGAATGTATGTCGGAGGCTGGGGGGTGAGTCCGACGTGAAACGGAGACCCCCCCTACCGGTAAATCGATTTCGGTTTCGGGTTCGTGTCGTGCGTGCCGTGAGGTGCGGGCGAGGCAGAGCTACGTGGGCGCGCGAGAGGGAATCCTCCTGTGGCTGGGCCGCGGCCGGACCAAATGTTTCTCCTCCGGCGGCCGGTGCCGCGTGGTGTCCCGCCGGTGTCCCGCTGGTGTCCCGAAATCCTCCTGTGGCTGGGCCGCGGCCGGACCAAATGTTGCTCCTCCGGCGGCCGGTGCGGCGCGGTGTCCCGCCGGTGTCCCGCCGGAGTCCCATTGAGTGAGATCGATCGTGAGATCGATAGTGAGATCGACACTGAGATCGATGTGGTGCCCCGAGGTGTCCCGCGGTGTCCCGTTGAGTGGGATCAATAATGAGATCGATAATGAGATCGACAGGTGTCCCGTGGTGTCCCGTGGTGTCCCGTTGAGTGAGATCGATAGTGACATCGATGTGGTGCCCCGAGGTGTCCCGTGGTGTCTCGCTGAGTGAGATCAATACTGAGATCGACAGTGAGATCGACAGGTGTCCCAAGGTGTCCCGGGGTGTCTCGCTGAGTGAGATCGATAGTGAGATCGATCGTGAGATCGATAATGAGATCGATGTGGTGTCAAGAGGTGTCCCGTGTTGTCCTATGGTGTCCCGCTGAGTGAGATCGATAGTGAGATCGATAGTGAGCCCGATAGTGAGATCGACAGGTGTCCCGCGGCGTCCCGTGGTGTCCCGTGGTGTTCCGTTGAAAGAGATCGATAGTGAGATCTAGAATGAGGTCGACAAGTGTCCCGTGGTCCCGTGGTGTCCCGTTGAGTGAGATCGATAGAGAGATCGATTGAGTCAGATGTTGGTTACTTGCATGCATGTACGTGTGTACGTATGTACGTCTGTATGCATGTACGTCTGTGTTCACCTGGCCCAGAAAACCACGCACCCTTCCCTTCTGCTTGACGTCGACGTCCCCTCCGCTTCCCTCCTTCCCCCATCAGCCATCCCCTTCTGATCCTCGTCATCGTGCAGCCACTGCTGATGAGGCTCTTCCAGGTCGTGCAGTCAGACATCGCCCTCGCCATCGTCGTCGTCCTCCTCTCACCCCTCCGCCCCTTCCTCCCCCCCATCACCTCCATCTCTCCGTCTGGTGATTGGCATGAAGGAAACTTGTCCTGAGTGAAACGTATCCTGGACCCCCAAGGGCCTTCCCCTCGGATCAATTCTTCGTCCTGAGCGTGCTCTGGACGCCCAAAACGACGAAACACATCAGGACCCGCTTCCCCCAGGACCCGCTTCCGTCCATGGCCAGGTGATGCTGCCCCCCGCTGCCTGCTCGTGGGTGGCGGGGGGCGCCTGTGTACGCGACGCAGTGGCGGCTCTGCCTCATCAGGCGCGCCAGCACCTCCACCTCCAGCGCGCCAGCAGGAAACACCCGATCCGCGGTCGCCCCCCTCTGCACTCACCGTCCTCCTCCTTTTCCTTGCCCCACACCTCCTCGTCCAGCTTCACCACCCCGCTCTCGTATTCCTCCTCCTTCTCCTACTCCTCCCCATCCTCGCCGTCGTCATCACCATACGCTGCTCGCTACCATGCGCTCGTCCTCAACGCCGACGCCGTCGACGCCCCTTCTCCGCGCACGGCGCTCCCCCGCCCTCGACGACTGACGCCAGGGCGCATGTAGAGCCACGCCTTCGCGGCCAACGACGCGGGCGTGTCCAGGAACCTCGGAGCCCGCGCTGGGGCGTGTCCGGGCGGCCAGCGGGGCGGGCGGCTCGATGCAGGGCGAATTGAGACAACGGCAGTTCAACATCAGGCCCGAAACACGTCCCTGGGGTCCAAACGCAAAAACTTTCCGAGCTGCGATGTTGCCTTGTTTCGGGCCCCAGGATCCTCACGGATCGATCGGGCTCGAAAAATGCCGCAGGGAGATTGGGTCCAGGGACCAGTCGAGTTTTGCTCGTGGAGCTCAGGGTGCGCCAGGGAGTCACCCTCTCTGCGCTGGCCGCTTGTGAAGGGCGTGCTGGCCGTCGGAACTGTGCGGGGCGCGGCAGCAGCCATGCAAGAGCTGGGCGGGGTGCCGCACATGCCAAGAACCCGCGGGGGCACCGGGCAACAAGCCGCTGCCGTGTGAGCCAAGGGTGAGGAGGGAGCCGTGAGAAGTGCAGTAAGCCTGCTCGCGGTTGGGGTGAAGTGCGGACCGAGCAGGCATACGGGACAACCACCAGACAGCCTCAAAACTACCGCTGGACGACTCAGGATGCACGTGCCGACCGTGGGCGGGGTGCGGTATCTATGCGAGATATCCTCCACAAAGACAGGATCGTGCGCCCTCTCGAAATCGTGTCTCGCCCGCGCGTGCGACACGAACCGCAACCGAAACAGAACTTCTTGGTGCGGAGCTCCCCGTTTCGCTTCGACAATTTCCCAGTGCGCGGCTCCCTGCCTTACCTGGACCTCGCCCACAACATTGAACAGGTGTGATTTCGCTGTGGACTGTTCTGGGGGGGGGCCAGGGGTGTGTCGAAAGTAATGCAGGAAGAAGATCATGATGTTTGGGAAATCTAGTGACTCGGCCATGACATCCACACACCTATCGACCTGACCTCATGTTGGACGCCCTGATGTTTCGAGACGATTTACAGACGACCCCCAGATCCCCGCGAAGCCTCGACGACTGGCTTGTCAGGCTCCGGATTAGAACCCAAACTGGCCCAACAATTGTGTTCACATAGCGCTCCCGTGGGGTACAAATTGTAACGAATCCTCCCTTTGTTGGTACGACGTTCTTCCCCTTCCACCACAAGTTGGCTCCGAAACGGGCCTTAGAGGCCTCCACGAAGTTCAAAGGGGCCCACGCGAACCCCCACGAGGCCCCACAGGCCCCACCCAATGGGCAAAGCTGACACCCAAGCCTTCCCAAGGACGGCTGCACAACAGCCCAATACACCCTGAGACGGCACGAAAACGCCTCCAGGCAGAGCCCTAGGCCCTCCACATCGGCCCCAGAAAGCCAGTATGGGGCCACGACATAGCTCCAAGAGGCAGCCATAACCACACATGCCCCAAGAAAGCACTGGGATGGCCCCCAAAGAGACTCTCCCTTTTTATATGTCCTCTTCCTGTCTCTCGCCGCTCCCTCATGCAAGAAGCATGGCACGCTTCCTATGTTTGTTCTCTTCACCGTGGTCGTTCCGTCGTTCGCTCCACCCCCCGCGCCCCCCAGATGCCATTCCGAAATCGGAGACTGGCGGCTAAGTTCGGGGGAGGGCGTCGACCTGGAATCAGCGATATCTCCGATAGATCGGCGATGGTTCCCCGACAGCGAAGCCGCACGTTCTTGGGAGGGGCATGCTATCGGGCCCTCATCGGCGATCAAGTGTCGAGTTCAGTTCGATGCACTCCCCACTGAGCCTATCCCCCCTCTAACGGTCCTCTGACTCCCCTCCCCCCCTTTCTCTGACTCCCACGTCCCTTTCCCAGTCTCCCTCGTCGGTCTTCAAGAGGGCCTCAAGTTTGCACGGTCGACGAGCTGCCACAAGGACCCTGAATTAAGGAACGAGGGGGCTTTGTATGGCCACCGCGAACGTCGAGCAAAGCAGGTTCCCCGACGGCTGGCCGAGTGAAGCCCCTCCAGAGCCGAACGACTTCCTTACCTCAACGTGTTGTCTGAACGATCCTGGGCATGCGTGCCACCTTCCCCACGCAAGCAGGCGGCAGCCCGAGAGCATGATCGCCCCCCTCCCCCTAAAACGCCGCAAATCATCGCGGCAAACACCTGGCCGTATGCGAGCACATCAGCATCCTGTTGCAATGACTTTCGACAAATATTGTGGGGGTGGTGCGATCATGATGCCCGTAGCGTCGTGGACCGACACCGCAATCAAACAACAGTGTCATGTCACCGAATGCGCAAGCGCCGTACGCGATGCTGCGCCGTCAATTTACACTGACCTCTGACAGCGGCGGCGGGGTCGACACACTGCCAAATGAGTGCTGCCACGAGCAGCGGCGCGCTCTGCCTGCTTCGCGCACGTGGCCCATCTGGCGCGACCTGAGCGCGCGGTCTGACCGTCTGGCCATGGCTCAGGCCTCCCGAGGCCGCTCGGGGCGATGCACGCACCTCCGTCACGCTCTCGGCGGCGCGCAGCTGCTGGAACGCACCCGGAGGCAGAACAACTGCACCTGGCAAGACGCCTGAAAACCCTGCCCTGAAAGACGGGCCAAGTAGATGGACTCCGAATCTAGGGCCCCCGCAGCGTGGCTGATGTTCGGCCGCTGCCTAGGCCTCTCACGGAGAAGAAAATTGGGGACGAGAGGCGTACGCGTTCCAGAAGGAGTCCACACCTACTACTGGAAGAGAGTGGACAGCCCTGGCCCTCCTCGCTGCTTCAACACCAAACAGAAGGGGCGCAAGGCGTGGAAACCCGATCCTAGGAAGAAGATCGGGGGGACAACAGAATATCGATACCGCTGACCCCAGGACATCTTTCCGGGTGCGGTCTGAGGCAAAGAGAACTCGAAGCGAATCCAGAATTTCGAAGCGAATCCAGCCGAGACGACGAGAGCCCCCCAGGACTCAAAAAGGCCAAAATGAGGGCAGGGCAGCGGTATCGGTACAACCTCCTCTTCTGAGGATCGAAGTGGACCCCCCGACGACGACGACGACGACGACGACGACGACGACGATGACGACGACGACGACGACGAAGGACAGGACGACGACGACGACGGACAGGACGACGACGACGACGACGACGACGCCGGCGCCGGCGCCGGCGGCGGCGGCGGCGGCGGCGGCGGAGTCGTGCCGCCCGGCCCGCGGGGCAGGCCGGGCCCCGCGCTCGTCCGCGCGCTCGGAGGCGAACCCTGGCCTCGCCTCGGGCAGGGTCCGTGTCTGGGCGTCGTCGTTTTCGTGGTCGTCGTGGTCGTCGTGGTCGGCCCTCGCCCTGTTGCCTCCTTCTCTGCCTGCCCCTTGCCCTTCTCCTTCTCCTCCACCTTTTTGTTTCTCCGCCCCCCCCCTGCGCCCTGCTCCTCCTCCGACCCCTCGTCGTCGTCCCACCCGCGTCCTCGCCCCGTTCCTCCGCCACCTCATCTTTCGCCTCCCCCTCTCTCTTCCCACTCCTCTCTTTCTTCATCGAATTGCCAGGGATAAGCGAATCATCTTGCGCAACTGGTTTCCCCGGCGCCCCCCGACGCCAGAGGGGGCACCGATGCGTCGAAGAAGGGCGCGTGGTGGCGGGGCCGAAAATGGCTGCATGCAACAAATTTCGCACCACACTTTGCCTTATCCCCCCTCTTCGTCGGACCCGAAACGGCGGGCAACTAGCGAATACGTTGCATTGCATTATCCGTGGCATCGTCTGTCCCATCGCGCCAACTTTCCGTTTCGAATCCGCGTCGAATCCGTTTAAGCCTCGTCAAACGCGCGCCGAATCCACGCCAATTCGGCGCAAGATGGTCAACAAAAAACGCCATCCGTTCTTGGAAAAGACAAAAAAGGTTACCGCGAATTACTCCCTCAACCTCACCCTGAGTGCGTTCTTGCCAGAATTCCGAAGCGATTCCAGACGTGGCGACGAGGGCCCCCCCTAGACGGACCGTAAAGGCGAAAGGTAGCGAAGGGCAGCGGTATCGGTACCTTTTCCGACTCTGATCTCTGATCTGTGGGACGTCGCATTTTCCATAACGTGGACCCCTGGAGATCTAGACTTTTTCCCCAGGACGATGTGTTTCACCCCGAGTCGTTTTTGACAGTCCCCGGGCCCCGCGATTGCCCCCTGAGGCCGAACACTGCCGAACACATGCCGTCGTTGTTTTGGGGGGGTCCGCCACGAGAGGAGGTGCGGGCTGACTAGTAATGCCAGGGTTTGGAAGAACGAACTTGTTTCTGCTCGTACTCACACCAGTGTGGTCGCAATTCCTCCAAACGCATCATTGAATGGCGCGAAAGTGGTGCGCCGCGTACTGCCAGGGGGAGGCGGCCAGCGATGCCTTCGAGCTTAATGGTTGCGGACCAAAACTTCGCCGCCTCGGCGGCCGCTCCCCATCTTGAATGGCCGTGCCTCGGCATTACAACATCATGTCATAATCATTGTGGCCATCCGATGCCAATGGTAGTGGTAGGAAATTGAAGCCTGCTCGCGCCGACGAGCAAAGAATCACAACGCCAATCATGGGGCATCTTCGAAGGCGTCGCTGGCCGACATGAGGAGGCGAGGCATGGCCGATCAGCGCAAATACGGCGCGCACTGGTGCATGAACGATGCGCGGCCTACTCGCAAAACTCGACTGACCCCGATTGGTTTGGCTCCGCGCACAGCTGCTCGCGGCAAACAAGCAGCTAGGCTTTTCGACGCGTCCAGGGCAAAGACAGCTTCCGAAACTCGCGATTGTTAGTGGGGGTGCCCCGCCAACGAGTGCGGCAACAAGTGGGCCTGCGGCCCTGGCACCGCGGCGCAGTGGCCGCACTTTCAGATGCCTGCGCGGAAGACGCGAGGAGGCCGCGGCAACAAACCGAAGAGGCCGCAAATCAGCACCAGCCGCAATTGACATACGGGTGATACACAGGGCGACCGCAGCCCACAAGACGCAACACTACGGCGCGACGCTCACCACTGGAACAGACACAAGGAGACATCACGACGCTGCCAAGAACAATGGACCGTTTGGGCAACATTTCGAGATCCACCCTGTGAGACGCGCACTCGGACCACGATAGAGGCGTCACACGGGAGCCGCAGGGCCACGGCGCGGCACCTGACATGATGGACACTTGTCTGGGCGACGATGCAGTTGTCGGCCGAGGACCACAGCGGCCGTTGCGCGGCGCTCGCGCTGGGCGGGGGCATGAGGGAGCTGCAGCGGGACGGTTGCATGGGGCGCTGATAAGCCCGAGGCAAGGAAAGACTGCTGCCCAATGTTTCGCATTCGTAGGCTAATTGTGCAGGCCAGCCGCGCCGGCAAGGATGCGGGCTGAAAATGCGGGGTAGGATGAACGCACAGCGCCTCGCTTCCCCGCTTCCGGATAGTCGCCTCTCCCTTTTAACGCGTTTCCTCGGGTGTCTCGTCGTTTCCTCGCCCTCGTCACCCTCGCGCGCCCTTCTGTGAGCGCGCCAGCGTAAGCGATGCCCGCAACGACAAGGCGGGCCCGCAAGGTCGAACACTTCTGGCGCAATTCCTGGGCCGCGAGAAATTCAAACCCCGACGCTGAACGGCCGTCTGACCCAAGGGAACAAGCAAACCGAAACGTTCAAACGCGCGTTCGCACCATCGGCCCCCCGCCAATCGTGGCTCTAGTCCATTGCCTTCCGTCCTCCATCCGCGGGTGGCTCTCTTGTCGAGACCGTCATTCGGTCGGGAGATTCCCATAGATGCAATCAGAGGCCAAAGACTAAAGCCACGGAGGCCCCTAGCTGCACGAACCACACATTAAATTCAACATCCTGGCAAAACGTAGCTTCGTAAACTAAGCCCCATGGGCAACGCACGAACGAGTACCGGTAGCCGCTTGGCGCCCAAAAGATTTCTGAACTGCAGCAGCAAACAAAAACACGCTGGCCGAAAAATGGTCGCAAATTGGTCGAACAACAAGCGCGCAGCATGTAAACAAGTGCAGGAAACCACTGGTAAGCCCAAGCGGGTCAGAACTCGAGGGGCAATATCATCGATATGCAAAAGCAACGAAACGAAAACCGACGCGAAACACAAACACTGCTCGGCTGCTATTACAATCTGATCGAGCGCGCGGCTCAACAATTGCAACGCGGGCCAAGACCGCACGCAAAACTCCAAACTGACCGAAATCATACCGCAATGCTGTAGATTATTGGGCGAAGCAGGCAGAGAGGAAGCGATTGGTGCGAACGCCACTGCAAAACACAGAAACATGCCTAAACCGAACGACCCGCGTTACACCGAAAACTGCACGAACCAAACTGAAGGGACTGAACGATTCACCTCCGACTGAAGATTTCAACCGAACGACTCACCTCCGAACAAAATTGAAGGGGCCGAGCATTCACCTCCGACCAAAGAAGGAAAAGCCCGAATCGCCCACTTCCGACCGGAAGCTGAAGAGACTGAACGACTCCCGACCGAAAGCTTGAGAAACCAAGCGTTTCAAAACCGACAAAACACTGAGGGGGCCAAGCGGCCCACATCGGACCGAATTTTAAAAGAACCGAACGACTCACCTCGACCGAGAACAGATGAGACCAAAAACTGTATATTCGACCGCAAACTGAAGGGGCCGAACGACTCCCCCCCGACGGGAAACTGAGAGGAGCGAACGACTCAACTGCGACCGAATAAATGAAGGGGCCGAACGGTTCACCTCCGATCGGAAACCTAATGAACCGAATAATTGACCTCCGACCAACAGCTGAAGGGCCCGAACGACTCACCTGGAGCAAAAAATGAGGGAACCAAACGACTCACGTCCGACCGAAGGGAGGGAGCAGGGAGGGGAGCGGGGAGGGGAGAGGGGAGGGGATTCGCGTCCAGCCAAAACTGCGGAAGAGGGGAAGAGGGCAGAACAGGAGGAGCGCGAGGAAGAAACCCAAGTTGAGGAGGACGAGGGGGGGAAAAAAAGGAAAACGTCTACGTGGAAACGGCGTCTATCCCACAAGCCTCAGCCATGAATCCAAACCCGTTGCGGAACCACGACATGACAGAAACGACGGCAATCGCTGCCAAGCAAAGAAAGCTGAGCGAGAGAAGGCAGAGAAGACGGCTGAGAAGACAGAGAGGCAGGGAAGGGAGAGGGGGAGGATCAGGGAAGGAATGCTTGATAATGAGAGGACGGGTCGATGAAACGCTGGGCAAAGCGTCGAACTAGTGTCGCAATCCACCAAGGACTGCGCCGACTGCTCGTCGAGTGATCGCCCAGGAGCGCGAACCAAAATCAGATCAGCATAATCCGAAGCGACACTCCAACTGCTGGTTCCAAATAAATTCGCGAACTTATAACACATGCGCATCATGAAGCCGCGTCATTCTTCCAAGACAATGGACATCTTTGGGAACACTTTTATACCACTACGGTGGCCTGTTGCGAGATCTCCCCCTCACTCAACGAGCTGATAAAACCCAAACCCCTGCCTCACCAGGGTTAACGGGACAGGGCAGGCCGACCCGAAGACGCAATTCGGGAGGGACTGCGAGTACCAATGACACGCTGCCGTTGGTAGCCAATCAGCGTGTCTCCTTCGACTGTGTCCGAAGGCCTGGTGTCTCGTCGACACGGCGGCGTCATTGATACTGTTTTGGCCTCCCGAGGGCAAGGGCAGCTGCCGGAAGGCCTCCTCGGCGCATGCCGCAACCAGCCGCGCCGGCGCGAGGCCCGCGCCACGCAGCAGCGCGCCGTGCGGCGGGCCTCCGGGCGACGTCGTCGCGCCGCCGCCGCCGTCCGCATCCACCTCCTCGTCGGCCCGCGGCCCCCACGGCCTTTCGGGCAACCACGAGTCCTCGAGCACCCTCGATCCGCGACTCCTCGAAGGTCCTCGATCCTGAAGAATCGAAGATCGGAGAACAAGCATCTGCATCAGCAGAAACTTTTGGAGGTCCGTGCGGGTCTCTTGGATTGGCGCCGGGCCCCACTAGGGCGCCTCTGGCGCGTCCAGCACAGTCCAGCTCGGGCAAGCAAGGAGATACCGATACCGCTCCTCCCTGGGCCTCGTGGGGTGCGCTCTGACCAGGATTCTGAAGCGAGACTGGCCGTGGCGACGAGGGCCTCACAGGAGGCCCACAAAGGCAAGAGCCAGGGAAGGTCAGCGGGTATCGGGGGCTTTTCCTCCTCTGACCCCCCTTCTCCCCACGCGCCACGCGCCCCCGCATCCCATCTTCCACGATCCTCTTACTCATCGGTCCTCGATAATCCTCGGTCATCGATCCACCTCGATCTTCGATCATCGATCCTGAATTCGACAGCCCCTGAGATCCTGAGATCTCGATCCTGAATTCGACAGCAGGAGCGGCGCCAGCCACGGTCATCAAGATAGTGGAAAATCCTTGTTTTACTCGAGAAGAGAGTAAAGAGAGGAGAGAGAAGGAGAGAGAGAGAGAGAGAGACAGAGAGAGAGAGAGAGAGCGAGACAGAAAGATAAAGAGAGAGAGAGAGAAACAGAGACAGAGGAAGAGGACGGGAGAAAGAGAGAGAGAGAGAAAGAGTAATTGAACAGAGACCGACCGTCCCAGCACTCGTACGAAGTCTAAGGTCTACAACCAATGTTGTTATAACAAAATGGATCATTGACATAATGCAGAAAGGACTGCCACACATCCAAACTGCATCTGTCAGAGATGATGCAACAACATGTGAAACAAACACAGAGGAGATCCCATAACATGTATTGGTGGACGTGCAGGAAAATCACGACGAGGGACGAGGGAGACTTTCGGGCCATAACTCTGGCCTCTGGCGGCTGTTCGGGACGAGTCGGGCAAACCTGGAACGCCCTCGGCGAGACGCATCTGCTGCAGCGAATACCGAGGCCCACGAAAACACTTGAAAACGTCAAACCTCGGACACTTGACCACGGCTCTCAGTGATCGCAGGGCCTGTGGGACAACAGGCAAAATCGCGAACCCATCGCGGAGTGCGTTTAGGTCAGAACCTGGGGAGGATCCAGCCGTGGCGACGAGGAGCCCCCTGGAGGCGCAAGCCTTCGCAACAGTTCTCAGCGGTGGATAAACCTCTTTAGCAAACCACCATTTAATTAAAACGGCCTGGGACTGAAACCGACGGACCTGGACCCGCAAAATCCCACCAGCCCTTTGGGCGTGAGTGGTTTAGAGAGCCCGCTCTGTTCTCACCCCCCCTTCTTCCCCTTCGGGGAGGGGTTTACCCCTCCCCCTACCCCCTCCCCCTGGGCCTGGAGAGGTCCTTTCGCGGGTCGTTGGAGGGGTCTTTGACGACTCCTGGGAGGGCTACAAAACGACACCCCTCACGAGGATTCTGGCCCCGACGGGGGGAGGCAGAAAAAACCCTCTCCTCTTCTTGGAAGCCATAATCATTGATTTTACTACGGTTTGGGCCCCATTTTGGCCTCCTGAGGGGGCAACGCTCATTAAAGCCCCCCTCTTCTTTCAAGGCAAAATCATTCATGTTACGAAGGTTTTGGGCTCATTTTGCCCTTATGAGGGGGCAGCGCTCATTAAAGCTCCCCTCTTCTTCGATCGATTCCCTCCAAGATGGCCCCAAGAAGCGCCCAGGAGGCACCAAGAGGCTCCAAGATGGCCACAAGAGGCCCCCAGGAGGCCCCCAAGAGGATCCCAAACGGCCCAAAGAGGCCCCCCCGAGGCACCCAAGACGCCGAAAAGCCCATGAGGACGACCCTCTACTCGCCTGGGCGTCGTTTCTGGACGGGCAGGAGGAGGGGCCCGAACGACTCACACCAGGACGAGGGGCCCGAACAACTCACACCACGAGAAGCCCGAACGACTCACACCAGGACGAAGAGCCCGAACGACTCACACCACGAAGAGCCCGAACGACTCACACCAGGAAGAAGGGCCCGAACGACTCACACCAGGACGAGAAGCCCGAACGACTCAAACCACGAGGAGCGCTTTCTCTCCCTCCTCCTCCGCCTCGTCCTTCTCCCGCTCCCACCACAAGGAGGATGTACAAGGAGGCGGGAGGAAGGAGGAACAGGGGAGATATGCGGGGGCAGGCGGAAACACGCCTGAAAAACACGACTCTCGGCATGCTTCGCTAGAGTTGCTGTTTTGAGATGGGCTGGTGGGGATACGCGAAGCGTGAAGAATTGACTGCCGCAACGCCCTCTCGCGAACCGAACACGGCCAATTCGCTGATCGACGTGTCGGGGCAGGAGGTCTGTCCACCCCCGGAACTCTTCGAGACGAAGAGCAGCGATCCGCACAATCCACTGCCCAAGGCGTCGCCGCCGGCGGGGCGGGAACGGCGGCGCCGCCGAGCGGGCGCGGCCTGAGCTGCGCGCGCCCTCCGCGGCCATCCGGGCCGTGCCCCCACCCCCCCCCACCCCCGTCTGGATGCACCCCGCGCGGGCCGCCAAGGAACGAGAGGGAGAGACATCGTGCTGGACAAGAGAGAGTTTTTGCTGTAGACGACTCCCAAACAAGCTCTCGGAGGTGAGGATTGAGAGGGAGGCCTGATACCTCAGATGAGGGACTCCTGGGAGCCCATGGCGTGACGAAGCCCATGTGCTTAGCCTCTAGGATGCACTTGAAAATCAGGCCTTGCCAACGACGCGCTGGGGGAGAGTAACTTAGTAGGGGGGGGTCGGCGAGCCGGCTCACGCGGCTGCTCTTCCCGGCGCCTGGAGGCGCCAGTGTATGAGGCGAAACCAGCTGCGTGCAACAAATCTCGTGACGCCCCCCCTCCTTTCCGAACCTCGCACTTTCGTCCGGCTCTGGAAAATCCCCCCCCCTTTCGATCTGTTCCGTGCGGGCCACCGAGAGGCGTGATGGAGGGATTGATTCCACTTATTCCAGCCGTGGACACGCCACCAGGTTGCCATGCACCGCGCACCTCTGAGAATCGTGGCCCTAAGAGTCCCCAGGGCCAGGACACAAGATAAACAAATTTAGAGGGGCGCTCCAGTCGAAAGGCGGAGAAAGAAAGAAAGAAAGAGAGAGAGGTGGTCGCGAGGTCTCGGCTGAGTCCGCGTCCGCCGTGCTTCCCAGGAGCCCACGAAAACGGCGACTGTTGAAGGATTCGCAGTCACCCAAGGAGCTGTGACGTCGCGGCTTGGTCCACGCCCTCCGTGCCTTCCAGGAGCTGACGAAAATCGCAACAATTGCGCAAATCACAGCCACCCATGGAGCTGCGAGGTCTTGGCTGGGTCAGCTCACTCCCCTACTCCGCGCCTCCCATGAGCCAACGCCAGTGGCAACGTTGGAGCAGTTCGCAAACACACAGAGGAGCAGCGCAGGATGAGCCAGGGAGGAGGGAGGCGGGAGGAGGAGGTCGCGCAAGTGCTTGATTCTTAACGAAATCCATCACAGGAGGGTAGGGAATCAACTGCTCCTCCCCGTCAACCCCCTTTCCTCCATCTCCTCCTCCTCCTCCGCCTCCTCCTCCTCTTCCTCCTCCGCCTCTTCCTCATCCTTCTCCTCCTCCTCCTTCTCCTCCTCATCCCCCTCCTGCTCTTCCTCCTCCTCCTCCTCCTCCTCCTTTTCCTACTCTTCCTCCTCTCCCTCCTCTCCCTCCTCTCCCTCCTCTGCCTCCGCCTCCGCCTCCTCCTCCTCACTTTGCCGCTCCTTCCTCCTCCTCGCCCCTGCTCCGGAAAAGGAGACTGGCTGTCTCGAGCGGCTCGTCGTTCTGGGGGGGTTTGGCCTCGGGGAAAAAACGCGTCCTGAGGGAAACGGGGTCTTGGACCCATGGGCTTTCTCCAGGATTAGCTTCACAACTGGAGTCGCACGCAATCTTTGGGCCCTGGGAAGGCCGCGGGAGCCTGGAAACGGAAAATAAACTCCAAGACCCTTCCGTCAAAGCGAGAAAAAAAGAAAGAGAAGGAGATCAAAATCAACAATTGAGGGAGAGCAAGACAGAGAGAGAGAGAGAGATCGGACCGTCACGCAACGACCCCCGCGTCGCGACCACGTCGCGACCTCTTTTCTGCAGTGAAACGTGGGCGCCCGAGGGCTGGTCGATGGGCGCGCGCAGTGCGGGGTGGTCCAGGCTGCGGCAGGCGGTGCGGCCGAAAAGGACGCACAGCAACCGAGCCCTACAGCGCGGCCGGGCTACGCCGGGCCAACAGGCAAGGAAGAGGAGGGCACGGAAGAAAGAGACAGCCGCGTAAGCATCAACATTCGGGCGATGCTTGATGGAGGGATGATGAACAGGCCTCCCCCGCCGCCTCGTCACGTCACGATTGGCGCTGGCGCCGTCTGGGAATGAGCCATTCCTAACCAGAGGGCGCGGGCGCGGATCGTGACGTGACTGGCCCCCTCCCCTCCTGCCCCCTCTGCGCACGCCCATAGCCGCCATGAGGGGCGAGGAAACGCGAAAAGAAGTCACGATGTCAACGGAAAGGCTGGCATTCCACACAACGTCCTCCACATCTGGGCAAGATAAATAGGAGGGGAGCTGCTCAACGATGTTCGGATATTCCATCCCCAGGGGTTTTCGGGCCGTTCCAGAGGAGCGGTAGGAAACTGCACGAAGACTAGTCTCCGTGTGAAGCTATCGGGTAAGAGCACGCATACACAATACGTTGTGTATAATAGACGGGGGAATCCGCCACCGCGCCTGGGCACCGAGTGGGCATGTCCTCTGATCGTTCGCCCAGTCCCCTGAGCCTCACGCCTCGATCCTTCGTAAGAGGCCCAGACCCCGAATGCACAACTTGCGTTGGGCTTGCCGCGGCTTCCCGCATGCTTGCCGCGGCTTCTCGAATGACATGTTCGGGCCCGAGATGGCCCCAAGAGGGGCCAACAGGGCCTCTAGACTCAAGAGACTCTAATGACGTCCAGAGTGCGCCCCGAGACGCGCAAAGATCGCCGCAGGATGCCCAAGATGGCCCCACGACGGCCCCATACGCCAACAAGACGCACAAGAGACTTCGATGACTCCCTCGAGGGCCCCAACATTGATTGTCAAGTGGAAGTTGAAGGATTTTGGCGTTATCACCTTCTCGGCTTCCTTACGCTCCAACCGAGATCGCCCCAGGACGGCCCAAGAGGCCTCCGAGATGGCCCCGAAACTGCCCACAAATGCCCCAAGACGGCCCGAGAGGCGCCCAAGACGGCCCCAAAGACGGCTCCAGAAGGGGCACAGATGGGGACCCGAACAGACATGTTGAGTCCTCGGCCCCTAGGGCCCCCCAGGAGGCCTCAAGAGGCCCACAAGAGGCTCAAAAACAGCCCCCCCAAAAGCCCCCGAGAACGCTCCGAAGAGACCCCAAGAAACATCCCTGAGAACTCGGACCCACAACCCAGGCACGGTGGCGGGATGGGGCGAAGGCCATACGATAGAAAGGACGAAAAAGCTACGGAAGAACGGATGAGGAAGAAAGATGGAAGAGGAACACATGGCAAACACACGTGACAACATATGAGAACACACCTGAAAACAAGACGAGGACAGTAAGACGAGTTTGGGGAAACATGCAAGGGACAAGCGAAGCGTAGGAACAGTAAGAAGGCGAGAGGGGGGGCGCTTCGGGGGGAGACCCTCGAATGCGGCTAGGCCAGAAACTGCCAAACACCTCGGTCTACGATTCCTCGCACACAAACGAACCAGAAACTGGAGGAAGAAGGACACACAAACGAACGAACGCGCCAGCTGGCGGCCTGCGCGGAGCGATCGTGGCCGCTCACCTAATCAGCCTCAGAGCGCTTTCGTGGTTGTCCAGGCCTGGAAATAAACACGTCCGTTCCATCATTCGTTGCCCAGTGCCCAAGAGGAAATGGGAAGAGGACGAGGAGAAGGACGAGGAAGAAGAGGATGGATGTGGAGGCAGGTGGGTGGAAGGGAGGGAGGATGATGGGGACGGAGGAGGAGCGACGAGCGAAGAAGGAGGATGTGGAGAAAGACGGACAAGTAGAAGCGGAAGGGGCACGAACCAAACGGGTCCCGAGAGAAACACGCCCTCAAGCCCGCGGCCTTCCCCTGGGACGGGCTGCTCGCACCGTTCGCGGGCCCCACGGAAAGCACCGCGGAGGGCACGCGCGGCGAGACAAACACGGCAGGACCCGTTTCCCTTGGGGCTCTCTTTTCGGCCTGGGGAGAGGATCGGAGACGAAGAGGATGGAGGCCTTCTGGATGGGGGCCGGACAACTGGGGCTTGAGATTCGCACCGAGTCGCAGATGCATATCGCTGTCGGAGTGCATCGGCGGCATCGGCGATGCATCCACGGTGTCGGCGTGGAAAAGATCGGGATCCACATCGAACAGGCATGGGCCGATGCATCCGCGATGCGGCGCGATCCTCCGACCCCATCTGCTCGAACCTCACTGGGGGGGGGCCTGGATCTCTTCCTGGCTGGGCAGATGATCGGAGAAGAGGAGACGCGGAGGGGAAGCGAGGAAAATACCTGCCGCGAGGGGGAGGGGCCCGCGGCAGGCCACCAGGGCCTCAGCGCAGGAGGGCCTGAGCAGCGGGGCAGGTCTGCGGCCCCCGCAGCAGCAGCGGAGGCGCGCTCGCGCGCTCCGCGCACGAGGGCGCTCCGAAGCCTACGACGTCGACGGCGATGCGACGAGACAGCCATCGCGCCACCACAAGGACAGCCGAAGAAGGAAGGTGCTTCTCTTTAGCCACGGCGAGCGTCGGCCACGAAGAGAGCCCCTGGCCTACGTACGTCTAAGGAATGGGCCGAAAACCAGTGCCCCTCTTGAGCGCAAGGAGGTCCTTGTTGTTCCAGCGTCCTGACTGACCAACGTCGACGAGAATTCCGATGACGACGCCAGCCGACGACGGCGAAGACGAACACGCAACGAGGACGAACGCGACGACAAACAGAGCACGCTGCCGCCATGGCAATGAAATTCATGTCGTTTCGAAGAAACGACCACCAATGTGGTACTTGCGCCTGCGTTCAATAAAAAGCACGTTTGCGTTGCTTGTATACTGTTTTCATTGGTGCGGTTCCACGCTATACTGAACCGTCGGGTTACCGCATGTTTGTTTACCTGTCGCGCGTTCGTTCACTACGTACCACTACTTACCTATGCTGGCCGGGGGGCCTCGGGCCGCCTGATCGAGCGCTTGCAGAATCGAGCCAGTCGGACCGAACCCCGGCCCACGACGGGAGAAAGTCCCCCCCAGGGGGGTGCGGCGACTGATCGGGCCGGCTGGTGCCCTGGCAGGAGCGGTCAGCATCGAATCGGGACATCCCCCCGAATCGGAACGTGCGCCGTATCGGGCCGCACCGGCACGGAGCCGAGACACACTGGGTCGGATGAGCCGCGTCAGGATGCACAACAGTGCCGTGCAAGCATCGAGCCGCATCGGATCGCTGGCAATCCTCTTTCTCCTCCTCCTTCTCCTCCTCCTCGTCCTCCTTCTCCTCGTCGTCCTCGTCCTCGTCCTCGTCCTCCTCGTCGTCCTCCTCGTCCTCCTCCTCCTCCTCCTCCTCGTCCTCGTCCTCGTCCTCCTCCTCCTCCTCCTCCTCCTCCTCCTCCTCCTCCTCCTCCTCCTCGGTATCGGACTTGGCCGGGCGACCTCGATGTCGAAACGGATCGGTCGGGCCGCAGTGGGCCTTCCAGGGAGGCCCTCGGGGGCCCTCGCCGCCCCTCGCCTCGCAGGCCTTCGGGAGCACGGGGAGGGCCGCCGCCGAGCGCGCGCCATCCTCCTGATCCTACTCCTCCTCCTGCTCCTCCTCCTCCGCTTCCTCCTCATGGCTAGTGGCTGTGGACTGGTCTGCCTCCTCCTCCTCCTTCTCCTTCTCCTCCTCCTCCTCCTCCTGATACCTTTCATTCTGTCTTCCACCTGCGATTATCAGGGAGCCGTCCCCGCTGGCTTTGGAAGGGAATGTGCCTCCGATTTCTTGGGACGAAGAAAAACAGGCAGAGGCAATCAACTCTCGAACGCAATACTTTTTGACACCACGTGGATCGTTAAACGTTGAACGATCGGCTATCCGATAACGCGGATATGTCGATACTCAACGATCGAGGCTCCTGGCAACGTTCAACCTTGAACGACCGCGCTAGGGCCGCCGCCGAGTCATCACGACGCGACCTTAATGTACCCTCCACCCAACCCCCTCTTTCGGCACAGGAGGCCGATCTGCATGATGTGAGGTCCCACGTAAAGCAGCACACCCCTGACACGAGGCCCCCACTGACGGGCACTCTGGCCGGCGAACCGGCGAGCCCGACCCCTGCCGATGCGGGGGAAACGCTGCAGTGCTCGCAAGAGGTCCTGAAGCGGCACTCTTCCTTAGGGGGAACGTTAAGAGGGACCAACTCTGGGCTTACACCGCCGATAAATCGCCGTAAGGCCGCCGACAGAGAATCCGCCCGTCCCTGGGCGGGGGGCGGGCCATGGAGCCCGTATCGGCGATGAGTGGGCGATTGGGTGTCGATGCATCACCCCATTCAGCCTACCCCCCTCCGAGCGTCGCACGGTGTTCGGATCTCACCTTGGCTCCCCAACGGCCGAAACCGAACCGAGGAAAACCGGTCGATGCATTCCCCACCGAGCCCTGAGCTCCCCTTAGCGTTGCCCCTGGCTTTCTAAGCACCAGATGCGGCACCGCTGCCGACCCCCTGCGAGCGGCCCGCGGCCTCCGCGCGCTTCCGCGCGCGCGCGCACCGAGGCCCGCGCACCTCTCTATCGACGGGTCCGCCGCGAGCGTTCCGGCGGGCAGCGCGGGGGGCTTCGCGCCGCCACCGCCCGCGGCACGGGCGAGATCGCGGCGCGACCGCGGCCTCGCGGGGGGGCGCCGCCGATCTGCTGCTTTTTCGCTGCCTCCTCGGCTCCTCGCCCTCCCACTCTCTGATCCTCTCTCTCTCTCTCTCGGAGATTGGGGAGTGAGATCGCAATGGAACGGAGACCCCCAATCCGGAAATCGTTGCGTTTCGTTCGTGTCGTGCGTGCGGGCGAGGCGAAGCTGCGTGGGCGCGCGAGAAGAAAGAACCCGCCGCTGCTAGGGCGAAGTCAAGACAAATGATTCTCCCCCGTCCGTCCGGCGGTGGCTTGCGGTGTCCCGCGGTGTCCCGTGGTGACCCGTGGTGTCCGCCGTTGCTAGGGCGAAATCAAGACAAATGATTATCCCCCGCCCGCCCGCCCGTCCGTCCGTCCGGCGGTGGCTCGCGGTGTCCCGGGGTGTCCCGTGGTGTCCCGTGGTGTCCCGTTGAGTGAGATCGATAGTGAGATCGTTAGTGAGATCGATAGTGAGATCGATGTGGTGCCCCGAGGTGTCCCGTGGTGTGCCAAAAATTGATATCGATAGTGAGATCGATAATAAGATCGACAGGTGTCCCGTGGTGTCCTGTTGAGTGAGATCGATAGTGAGATCGTTAGTGAGATCGAAGTGGTGCCCCGAGGTGTTCCGTGGCCCCAAAAAATGAAATCGATAGTGAGATCGATAATAAGATCGACAGGTGTCCCGTGGTGTCCCTCTGAGCGAGATTGATAATGAGATCGATAATGAGATCGAGAGGTGTCCCGAGTTGTCCCGTGGTGTCCTATGGTGTTCCGTTGAGTGAGATCGATAATGAGATCGATAGTGAGACCGATAGTGAGATCGAGAGGTGTCCCGCGGTGTCCCGTGGTGTCCAGTGGTGTCCCATTGAGTGAGATCGATAGGGAGATCGATAGTGAGATCGATAAGTGTCCCGTGGTGTCCCGTTGAGTGAGATCGATCGTGAGATCGATTGAGTCAGATGTAGGTCCCCCCCTCTCCCCCCCACACAACCTCCTTATCACCCGAAGGGTGGTCGTATATGTATATATATATATATACATATACATCTCTCTCTTCCTCTATAATTATCCCTCTCACTTCATCTCTCTCTCTCTCTCTCTCTCCCCCGCTTCTCGTTGTTTCCCTCTCTCTCTGTCTGTCTATGTTGTCTCCTCCGGCTCCTGCTAATGCTGCTGCTTGCTGCTGCTGCTTGCTGCTGCTGCTGCTTGCTGCTGCTGCTTGCTGCTGCTGCTTGCTGCTGCTGATGCTTGCTGCTGCTGCTGCTGCTGCTGCTGCTGCTGCTGCTGCTGCTGCTTGCTGCTTGCTGCGTGCTGCTTGCTGCGTGCTGCTTGCTGCTTGCTGCATGCTGCTTGCTGCTTGCTGCTGCTGCGATCCGCCACCGCCACCTCACCAATCCCCAGCTGCCCCCCTCTTCGGCTCCTCCTCCTCCCCCCCCTCCTCCTCCTCCTCGCCAGCCGCCCAGCTATTCAGCAGCCTCCTCCTCCTCCTCCTCCTCTTCCTCCTCCTCATGTTCCCCCGTCCCTCGCCATCCTCCTCTTCCCTCCAATGCCTGCCCCTCTTCGCCCTCCGCCTCCTGTCCGCCCCCCCACCCGAGCAGAAGATTGCGCGCTGGCTCCGAGTGGCCGAGCCGACGTAGGACCACTGCGTGGAGACGCCGCTGGAACGGGGAGCCGGCCTAGCCGCTCGACTCGGCCCTCCGTCCCAGCGGCACGCGGCCACGCACCGCCGCGCGGGCTGGTACACTCGGCCAACCACCCGCGAGGCGAGCCCAATACTTGCTGATCCGCCCCAGGCCCAGGCGGCACCGCGCGCATGCCTGCACGGCACCGCGCAAAGCCCAGGGGAAGCCGGGCAGAGCAGCCGCGAAGCAGCGCCGCAGCCCAGGCGGGCCAGGAAGGCGTGTCAGGCGAAACGAACCGCTGGCCGAGCGGGCCACAAGCGTGCAGCCAGCGATCGCCACGAATTCACGAAGCAACCAAGGGGCAACCGAGAGCCAGGTGAATACTCGGGAGCGGCCAAGAGGGGGGGTGTCCAAGAGGGGGGGGTGCAAATCATGACCGGCGGCATGTGCGCGGCTCAGCGGGGGGGGGCCAGGGACGTCATGAAACAAGAAGAGGCGCCATGAAATCTGGGGAAATATCATGGCCCCCGCATTGATATCCACCCCCCCTTGTCACCCCCCCCTTTTTTTCCGCCCCCGAAATACTCCTGCTCCGAAGCCCTGCAGGATTCGGGGTCATGGGGAAAATGGAGCGGGGAGCTCTTCGCTCGGCTTTCGGAGAGGTTTCGCACAGTCGCGCCCCACGCCCCCGCCACGCCACAACGCGTTAGAATGTCTCGCCGCACCCGCCTGCTCCTTTCTCGTTGTCCCCCTTTTCCGCCAACGCACCCCGCACACCCACTGATCCCCTGCCCGCCTCCTCATCCACATCATCCCTCCTCCTCTTCCTCACGACCATTCCCTTCCTCCTCCTCCTCCTCCTCCTCCTCCTCCTCCTCCTCCTTATCATCATCACCCTCCTCCTTTTCACACGCATCCTCCTCTCAACACACATCTTTCTCTTCACCCACATCCTCCTCCTCCACCTCCAGCAAAGTCCCCCCTCCCTCCATCCCCCGTCTCCTTCGCCTCCTCCCACTCCCCGAGCCTCGGTCGTCCTCATACTCGTCGTCCTCCCCCATCCTGCTCCTACTTCCCCTCCTCCCGTTACTCCTCCGCCTCTTCCGCTTTCTCAGCCGCCCCCCCCCCGAGATATTGCAAAGGCGAGATTCGAGACGGACGACGAGGGGAGAGGATGCGCGAGGAGAAAGGGAACAAGAAGGTGGAGCACGGGAAGAAAAGAGAAGCGGAGGGAAGACGGAGGAGAGACGACGACGAGCTCAGGCAGAGGGCGCGCTGCCTTCGAACACCTGGGGATGTCGGGGGACCGGAGAAAGCACCTCGAACCCTCCCGACAACAATTTATCAGGAAAGGATTCGAAAAGATTCCGCGGGGAAACCCTCCGGACGCCTTCCCCCCCGGCCCCCCACCCTAACCCTCCATCCCCCTCTCCACCTTTGGAGGCGTCTTGGGGACTGCAGATCTCCAGAAGTCTCCAGAGGCCTCTCCGAGGCCCAGTCGGGTCCAAGAGCGCCCAGCAGCCTCAGTCTCCTTCACCCCCCAGCACTCTCCTCATCCTCCTCCCTCCCCTCTCCTCCCCTCCCCTACGTTGCCTGCCTCCATTCTCTCCCCTCCTCCCCCTCCTCGTCCTCCTCCCTCTCCTCGTCCCACGTTGCCCCATCTCTCCCCCTCCTCGTCCTCGTCCCTCCCCCCCCTCCCCTCCTAATCCTCCCTCACCTCCACGATTTCGCCATATGAACTTCCCTGATGACGTCCAGAAGATGTTCGGCTCCCCTCCGCGCACTGCTTTTTTGCATACAAGATTCCTTGGAACTGCGTTGTCGCTTGGGTCTGTTTCCAAATACGGTTCCCGCTGAAGCGCTGGCCTCCTTTGCGGGCTTCCGCTTGTTCCGAATGGTGTTCCCGCTGCAACGCTGGCCTCATTTCCGGGCTTCCGCTCGTTCCTAATCGTGCTCCCGCTGCAGCACTGGCCTCATTTCCGCGCGTCCGCTCGTTCAGAATCGTACTCCCGCTGCTGCGCTGGCCTCATTATTTCCAGTGCCATGCGACGCCATGCAATGGCATTCTATGCGGTGTTCCGCTGTGCGATGTCATACCTTCAAATGCAAAGATGTGATATGCATTGCTTGACTACGCAATGCCACGCCATGCTATGCCATACTACCCTTTGATCTTCAACGCCGTGCTATGCCATGTGCTGTTCGGTGCCGCTGTGCGATGTCATTATTTGCGCTGCAATGCTTTGTGATGCTATTCTTCACTACGCAACGCCACGCCATGCTAGGCCATAATACGCTCTGCCGTGCTCTTCTACGCCCTGCTAGGCCGTGCTCTACGATGCATCGCGCACCCTCTCGGGATCATTGCCCTGCTCGACATCCGACTGTGCGAATATCCACGCCATGGTAAAGGACGGGAAGGAGGGGTAGGACGTCAGATATGACGCGAGCATACCTAGCTCGCCTCTCCCCCTCATTGTCTCCCTCCCTCCCGATTCCCCTCCGTTGCCTTCCGCCCCTCCCTCGCCTTTACAATCCCATCCAATGCCCGCGGGTGCCTGGCCCAAAGGCCGACGCGACCCAGGGGAGGCGGAGGGCGAGGCGGAGGGCGAGGAGAGTGGAGGGGCCCGCGAGGGTTGAGGATGGATGCATATTCATACTCGTTCTCTCGGCGTCACCGCCACAGCGCAGAGGGAAGGCAAGGCATCTATATATATATATATATATCATACGCACCTCTCCGAGGGAGTAGAACTCAGAGGCGATGAATGCGTACGCGGGGCGACACGTCCGCGATTTGTCTGGCCGTTTCGCTAGGGACACCCTCAGAATTCTGAAAATCGGTGGCACCCCTCACGCAGATCGTGACGTCAGGGTCCAAAAAACACATAGGAACTTCAACAATTTGACATAAAACCTTCAAAAACACATGGAAATTTCAATAAGTTTGACCCCGATTCTCAGAGAATGCCGGTTTCGCCTGAAACATCCTCCCCAAATCGAGCCCCAACGTACCCTCTTGTACCCCAGACCCCGCCTCGGTGCCTCCTGGGGGCCTGCTGGAACCTCCTGGGGCCTCCTGGGGCTTTCTGAACCTTCTGGTACCCCAGATCCCGCCTCGGAGCCTTCTGGGGGTCTCCTGAAACCTCCTGGGGCCTTCTGGGGCCTCCTGCGGCCTCCTGGAGCCTCTTGGGGCCTCCTGAAGCCTCCTGGGATCTCCTGGGGCCTGCTGAGGCCGCCTGGGGCCTCCTGGGGCCTCAGAACTACATGCACACACAGAGACACAAATCACGCCCAACACATCACACGCTAGACAAACATAACACACACACACAACACCTACAACGCACAAAAGCACGCACAACACAGAGCATACATCA